CGAAACAATGTGCGTCGGTGGCACAGTGGTTAGGACTCCCGCCGACCATGAACATGGTATGAGGGTCGATCCCCTGCCGACGCACACCTGATATCTGTGGTCGGCCTGCGAAATTTGGGCTACCGATATCCATGCTGAAAATTCCACACTTGTACGAAAATACAGTGTGGAATCAAGCTGTAAATCAAAAAAGAAAATCCAGAGCATGCTGAGGCCAACACAACATGAAGTACAAAGATTTTCCAAAAATAAAGGAGTTGAAACGGAAGTTATACATTTTGCATGCAAAGGTGTTTATCAGCTTGTCACCGTGAATAATCTTGGTGAAAAACACATGAGTGCCTTATAATGTATGGGGAAAGAAATAAGGCGGCAGTCTTCCTGATGCTCATGGATCCAAAAGATTTGAACGGTGGACACAAAATAAAGCGATTCTCGAAGGTACATAAGACAGTAATAAAACATCTGAGGAGAAGAAAATAACATAGTTCGGAAGATGAATTGACTGTAATGCTTAACTGCTGCACTAGAGCCATTGCAAAAGAGACATTACCAGTTGTATATAAATAAAACCTGTACGCTTTTCACTACTTAATTCCGTATGAATTCATTAAATAATTCAAATAGTGAAACAGTGTTGTCTACTGGATGACTTTCCAGACACAATCTGCCAGATATAGTCGTGTAAATATGGCTATAAACTTTGTCTGAACGATTAATTGCGTCTTAAGCTTCATTCGGCAGACAATACTGTTTCGGTGAACTCCGCCACAAGAGAAACACATTACAACCCATCAGCCAAGAGTTCAAACGCGACTGTGTACCTTTGTATTCATTCTGTACCATCACAACTGAACACACTCTTAATCAGCCACAAGTAGTGTAATATCCTGCCCTGCGCAACAGTCCGGTTGGTGTTAACGGGAAGCTGAACACCAGATAGGTTGGGTCAAACTAAAGAGCCAGCAGGTATTGTTGCCACAGTACAGGTCCACTAGGAAAGACGATTGCGCAGCAGCCATGCGACTTCTGGTTGGAGCTAGCGGGCTAACCAGCTTGAAGGCATTCATACAGGTCTACTAACGCAATCCCTACTTCGACATCTAAGATATAGTTAACAGTTCGCTCACAATAGAGTAATCGAATTTGCGTCTAGTTTGTAGAGCCATTCTTGGCTCACTGAAAGTTTAGGTTTTGATTAGTGATCTCCCAGGCTACCTGATTTCATCAACATTTCTCTACGAAGAGGAAATCAGGCCGTGTAGGTTCGCGGGAAACGAGGGAACATCGATCAGGTTGCAGAAAGATGTCGAACCTGAATAATTGGGCAACAGTGTTTGGAGTGGCTTCTAGCGTTCATCCGATACCAGGATAATGAACAGTCGGCTGCTTGCGCCGTACAAACATCGGCCATTTTGAGGAGCGAGCACTCTTGGAATGTAGCGTCAGCCTTTTAGAAAACGTACAAAGGAGTAAAACAAACGTTTTCCCGGCTAAAATTCCTATAAAAAGTAAGATAATAGACTCTGAAAACTCGATCAGTATACCTTAACAGGGACTGTCAATGGAGTTGAAGATTGAACGATCAATTCTTCGTTGTTTGCTCAAAACCAACTTCCCCAATTTTCGCGGAGGCATCAATACGACAGTCATCGTCTCATCGGTCGCTGTTCAGAAAGAAGAGTAAAACATCGTCAGAAGTAATCTTATGATTTCTTATTGTAATATTTGTTCACAGACCTTAGTTCACTTATTCTTTTTATATGTTGGTGTAACAATGAAGAAATCTCAAGCGGCAGATCGGTGTTTTGGTTTGTTCGTCCGTTATAACTAAGCGTTTCTGAAATCTTCAAGGAACAGCGTGGGCCCGAGCGTAGCAAGAGCTGGGCATTAACGGTTTATGAGACGTGATTGACAGGGACACTGTGCCATGTTTCGGATAAACCTTCTTAGAAACCGATTTCTCTACCAAACTGGTGACACAAGTCATCAACAAGTGACCTGTAACATTGTAAAAGATCAACGGTGTATTTGGAAGCACGAAAGCAAAACAAAGGGATAGTGAAGCGTGGAATACCTAGTCAAACAAACGGAAGGTCATCCACCATTCAATAGATAAAGAAAGCTTTGAAAACCAAAAAGAGGATATTGATCACATTTGATTGCCCGTCCCATCATCCTGAGTTCCTTAATTAATTGCAACATCTGAGTGGTCGTATTACGCCACGCAGCAGAGGCCCCACACCTACAGATGAACCGCTCATCAGATGGCTATACCAGAAGTACGGGCTAATTTTTTCTCTGCCTTTGTCGATAGTAAAGCTCACAGCTTGTCCGCATGGTTGCTATTCTATTAGTCTATGTACCACTAGTTTGAGTACCATGCGCACACCCACAGGCGAAGACTAGTTTGGAGGGGCTGTACTGGAACCAATAATAACACAACGACTTCTACATGTCGCAGTTATCTTTTATCTCTCTTTCCATTTTTCGCTCTTCCTTTTGTTATGTATTCTTTGACTGAATTACTAGCCTTATACCTAGCTCTGTGGCGCCACTTTCCATTTGTTCGGTTTATCCTTTCAATTTGTTTTTCACTGAATTAGCACCACCTCCCCAAGAGAATTCGCCGACCTAAATGGTAGAGCAAAGGATGAAACAAAATTTATAGGCCCTACCAAAGCTGTGTCCTGGTATCAGCCACACATTTTATTCGAAATAAACGAATTTACCACCTTCCCAATCGGTCCAGCAGAACTGCGGCAGCCAAGGGAATATACTATCGGGTTGAGTCATATATCCAAATTAGCCCTGAAACCATGAGAAGCGAGTAATATGATATCATGAGGGTGCCTAGAGGAACCTTTGCAGTAAGTCGAACAAATTGCCGAATCTAAATTAGATTGAAACTTTCATCTTCATCAATGATTTTATTTATGTAAACCGCCTGTGGTAAAAGGAGGTAGTTGCAGACTAGCAACTTCTAATGGAAAATGTATTATTTTAAGAATGGAAATTGAGCACTACTGTAGAGGATAATTCCACTATGGAGAAAATCGGTTTGAAGAAGTCTAACAGTGCCATACGGTATTTTCGGGCAAATTTTGTTGCCCACAATCGTATCAAGTTGCCCATATGACTTTTCGGCTTCGTCTCTGTGATTTCATTATTTCTCACCTCTTGATTTAACTGCTAGTAATATATCCTACATTTCTATTACTAATGATGAGGAATTCGTATTGCCTGTTTTTAGGTGTGAATTCGATGAACGAAGTTCAGTAACAAACGTCTCTCTTCATCTATTTGGCCGTATGTTAATGTGTGAATTATAATTTCCGTTTATCCTACATTAATTATCTCCACTGAGCCAGATAGTGGGCCGGTTATATGGGTAGAATGAGGATTTATCACGATAGCCGGTCATGTGGGAATCGATTCTAGTGAAGGCCGGCCAATTACAGGGCGTATAATCCTTCTAAATTTTTGAGTAACTGTCCCCCTGGACCCAAATATTCAACCTCACTTGTGTATATTTTCAGAGTTCTCGACTCAGCCATATTGATCAGTTAGGTTTTGTAACTCTTTCTGCAGATTTTTTTATTTTGGACGCGCTACTCTTGGAAGTACATTCCCGAATAATCAAGTCGTTTTGATATGTGTTATTATATTATTATTATTTCCCCTCCAACGAGAGCTGAAGTCTTGAATGCAATCAAGCTTCTGAAAGCTGGAAAAGCAGCTGGACCAGATGGAATACCCCCTAAAGAACTGAAAGCGGACCCAGAAACTACAGCAGGCGTGCTGACTCCATTATTGGGAAAGGTCTGGAAGGAGGGAAAGGTGCCTACTGACTGGAGGAAAGGTCACCTTGTGAAACTGCCAAAGAGGGGCGACTTAGGCTCCACTCTGCAAGAACTGTCGAGGAATCATGCTCCTATCGACGCCAAGTAAAATCCTGAGTCGAATCATCCTGGAGAGATTAAGGGACGCACTGGAGACAGAACTCCGACCAGAACAAGCTGGATTCAGGAAAGGCAAATCATGTACTGACTGAATTGCAACTCTACGCTTCATCATCACAGAACAAAGCATGGGATGGCAATCAAACCTCTACCTCAACTTTATAGACTTTGAGAAGGCCTTCGACAGCGTTGATCGTGAAGTAATTTGGAAATTACTCGAGTACTACGGCGTGACCCACCCCTTAATATTCATCAACCTTATTCAAAAGCTGTACGACAACGACGCATGTCAAGTGATCCACAATGGAAAACTCAGCGAGGCGTTTGGAGTAAACACAGGAGTCAGACAAGAGTGCTTATTATCACAAATGATATTCCCAATTGTGTTCGACTGACTGGATTATGCAACAGACAGTGGGAAACGAGGAGACAGGAATATCCTGGGCTGACGCAAAGAAAATAGGGGACCTGGATTTCGCGCGTGGATGACTTGTGTTTGATGTCACACAAAATCGAAGACTTACAAGCGAAAACCGACAAACTGATCGAAGAAGCAGCCAGAGAAGACAGGACTCCAGGTGAACATAGACAAGACGGAGGTGGTGAAAATAACCATCTAACAACAACAGCAACAGCATCCAACGTCAATCACCATCATCGGGAGGGATTTGAAAGAGGTTACTTCATTCACTTATCTAGACAGTATTGTCTCAACTACGGGCAGTCGGAACGGACGAGGATGTCTAATCGAGAATTAGGAAGGCGAGGAACACATTCATCAACATCATCAACGAATGCAAATCTCAGCAGTAGTGCTTCCCGGGAACACACCTCACCCACAAGATAGTGTGACACTGTCTCTTATTGAATTTTGAAAGGGTACATTATTAGAAGAAAAATATCTGCTTTAGCAGAGTCTACGATCCATCTGGAACTGTTCCATAACACTGATAAGTGACTTCTTACAAGGTTTATTCCTGCCAGTTAACAGTTATTTGAGTGCTACCAAGTGTACCGCGGGAGTTTCGGAAGTTTCGGATGGCGCCGTTTAGAAGGAGTAAGAAACCCCCACCAGAGGGGTGGGAGCTGATTGAACCAACTATCGAGGAATTAAATAGGAAAATGCGGGAAGCAGAAACAGATCCTCATGAAGGGAAGCGTAAAGTAGAGGCTGAGTGGCCTATCTTCCGTATCCACCACAAAAGGTCCCGATTTATTTATGATTTATACTATAAGAGAAAAGCGATTTCTAAGGTAAGTAGCCTTTATTACAATTATTTGCATAACAGGAATTATACGAATTTTGCTTAAAAGAAAAGATTGCCGATGGTAACTTGATTGCCAAATGGAAGAAGCAAGGATATGAAAACTTATGTTGTTTGAGATGCATTCAGTCTAGAGATACAAATTTTGGGACAAATTGCGTTTGTCGAGTTCCAAAGTCAAAGTTAGAAGAAGGGAAGATTGTTGAGTGCCAAAGTTGTGGCTGTCGTGGATGTTCCGGTTGATCATGATTAACATACATAAAACTTGCGAAGTTTGTGTACTCGATTGTCTATTGCAGTAACTATTTTCATAATTGTAATGCACTTTATTGTGTTCTTGTTAATGATGTATATACCTGATACTAAATAAGTTCACATATCCACTTCGTTGGTTTTGTATATTCATCGTTGGTGTGTCACTAGATCTCATACCTTGTCATCTGGTGGATGTGTGTGTATGCAGAAGATTCAGACTGTAGTACCTGGGAAATTATTCATTCAGTTGACTTTCTCTTAAAGAAGGGTTTTTTATTGTTAACCTTGTGTGGTTACGCAGTTTTATATTGTTTATTCTTAAGATGTAAATTCTCTGTATTTGAATAAACGAGTGTGTGGTGTTTTTGTATTTTTTCAGAAGACTTGTGAAACGTATTGTTTATACTCACTATGCCTAGGGTTATATTATCTCTTACTGAAAATAAAACCCTTTCAATAAGTTGGACTGTACATCCTAAAAAAGCTGACTGTGTTGGCAAGGCTTAAACGGTTTTCTCAATGAAGAATGTGTATTAGATAACGACTTCTTTCCACATGGCAAAAGTGGTTCACAGTTCAGAGATATGCGCATGTATGTTTGAACTCAGAGTTGACCTTTAGTTTTGCAACCTGGAGGCACAACTTATTTTGTAAGGGGTGGTAATGTTACCTTGTTGCTTAAGCTGTATTAGCTGGAGCAGGATTTACAGTCTGGGGCCCATTAGTTGCCAGCCAAGTGCTTAAGTAAGTGGGTCACACTCCACATCAAGTCCAATCAAAGCCGCTGATGTTATCGACCTTGGTTGGTAAGCAGTCTTGTTGGGATTAGATTAAGTGGTGTAGTCAAGTGACGGCCCTAACTGTGGGTCCTGGCTTTTTGCCTTTTTCACTAGCAGCTTGGATAGTAAATATCAGATGGTACTGAAGGTCTACAAATAATTACCTTTGAACAGCACTTCCTGATCGGCTTACACTACACAGTTGCTACAGATGTTTGAATGATTATACTCCTTAATTTCAAGGAGAGGGAGTGCTAATCCATTTAGAGCGAACACCACGTGTGAGGAGAAAATAGTTGGCACATACACTGTTTATTATAAGTTATAAAACCCTTTTTGATCATTAGTCGAAATTCATCGGGTTTTTGTTTATTGTGTCGTTAGGATTCTTCTAACGGATACTGCGTAAAGTTGTTCAAGTATTTGGGAGTAAAATTGGGTTAGTTCTGCATGGTCACCAAAATGTCTTGAGAGACTGCCTGACTGAACCCAATGGATGGTGTTAAATTTTGAAAAGTAACTTTTTATTTTAACTTCGCTTCAAGCTAAGTGGGACAGGCATTTATTAGTAATTCTTTCACTGACCTGATCCTCCTATGAATACCTGGGTGATATCCTAAAGCCACGCCACCAATTTCATATCGGAGGATTTAATGTTAGGACACTTTGCCAAATAGGATAACAAGCATCACTAGCCATGACTCTGGCATCCCGAGCCATTGATGTATGCTGTGTTTCAGAAACACGCATACAAGACCCAAGTGTGGTTATTCACCTAACCCCACCTGGCCAACAGGATGAATCTTCAAAATTCACCTTGAGGGTGTCAGGAGATGCCACAGCTAGTTCACGAGGATTAGCTGGCGTAGGGATAGCTCTGAGTACTAGGGCAGAAAAGACATTGCTTGACTGGATCCCGGTAGATAGCCGAATGTGTGCTGTCCGTCTGAACGGATCAGTAAGAAGGAGAAAGGACTGCACTACTCGCCGATGCCTTTTCGTAATCTCCGCCTACGCCCCCACTGACTGCAGTTCGGATGAAACGAAGGATGAGTTCTACCAAAAGCTGTCTAGTTTGGTGCGAAAGGCTAAACGCTCAGATATATAGTCGTGACTTAAATGCTCAAGTAGGGAAATTGTGTCAATCTGAGAAGGATGTCGGTGGCACCTATGGAGTTCCGTGCCAGCGAACCGACAACGGTGACCGTCTCCTACAGTTCTGTTCAGATAATCATTTGTTTCTTGTAAGCACTAACTTTAAACACAAGGAGAGACACTGTTTGACCTGGCGACCCCCATCATCAAACCAACGCTGGACACAAATAGACCACATAGCAATAAGCTATCGTTGGCGTGGGTCGGTAGGAGATTGTCGCTCCTTCTGGAACACGTGTGTAGATACCGATCACGCACTGGTCCGGGCTCGTGTGTGCTTACGACTGAACGGACGTAGGAAACAGCTGGCGGTAAAACCATCACGTCCCCAGCTCGATCAGGAAACTAAATCCCTATTTGAGGAAGAACTAGCTAAACGCATATCTGAGTTCGACAGCTGTGCTCACCCTGGAGAAGCCTGGAAGAATATTCAGTCAGCCATAGATACAGCTGTAAAAGCTGTGAATAAAAAAATCCAAAGGTGAGTAAAAACCACTGGATTTCGACTGCCTCATCCGAACTGATAGATGCTAGAAGACTTATTCCGGCGAGCTCCGAATTCAATGAGGAGCGAAAGCTGCACAAAAGGAAACTTACTAAAAGTCTCCGCAAGGACCGTGAACAGTGGTGGCTGACAAAGGCGAAAGAGATGGAAAAAGCATCGGCGATAGGCAACTCTTTAGACTCATCAGGGAAACGGGTGGGAGAAGGCAAATCATAAGTGAGACTATTTCTGAGAAAAATGGCTCCTTAATTAGCTCTCAGGATAGACGCCTTGAACGCTGGAAAGAACACTTTGAGGAAAATTTAACTTGCCTACAGCCACACTGAACCTCCCCGCCATCCAGACACACCCGAATGGGATATAGACACTGGTCCGCCGTCTGTAAGTGAGGTCACAAAAGCTATCAGTAATTTGAAACGAGGCAAAGCGGCAGGACCCGACGGAATTATTCCGGAGGTGTTTAAATATGGGGGTGACATACTAGTTTGTAGATTAACTGAGGTACTAGGCAAAGTCTGGGAATCAGAGACAGTCCATCAGACTGGGGTAAGTCACTTATTATACCGATATTCAAGAAGGGAAACAAGTCCTCGTGTGATAATCATAGGGGGATCAGCCTAACGAACATAGTCTCTAAAATCCTAGGCTCAGTAATCATGCATAGACTAAGCAGAACTCGGGAGGAACAGACAAGGGAAAATCAAGCAGGCTTTAGACCAGGTAGAGGGTGCATAGATCATATCTTCACTCTTCGACAGATTCTAGAACATAGACACACTTTTCGGCGTCCAACAATTGTCATATTTCTTGACTTGAAGGCGGCCTTCGACTCCGTGGATCGAAAGGTACTATGGCAATGTCTGACTGTGAAGGGAGTGCCAAGAAAGTACATTGCACTAATCAAGGCACTCTATTCAAACTCACGTAGTCGTGTAAGGGCTTATGGGGAATTGTCATCTGAATTGGTAACAACCAGTGGTGTCCGACAGGGATGTCCACTTTCCCCATTTCTGTTTAACTTCATCATAGATATGCTGATGGAAGTATCCTTAACTGAACGTAATGACTTAGGAATCGACTTGTTACCAGGGAATAGTCTTATGGACTTAGAATATGCAGATGACATAGTCCTGTTAGGGGAGGATGCTGACAAAATGCAGAGTCTTCTGAACACCTTGAGCAGCAATCTTCGTATGTTTGGCATGCGATTCGCCCCTGCAAAATGTAAGATGCTGCTACAGGACTGGACTACGTCAACTCCTAACTTAGTGATAGGGAGTGAAGTGATAGAACATGTTGACCACTTCACCTATTTGGGAAGTTGTATTAGCACCAACGGACTGATTGGCGATGAAATCTCAGCACGGATCCGAAAAGCTCGAGCTGCTTTCGCTGACTTACACCATCTCTGGCGTAGGCGTGACATCCGGTTATCAACCAAGGGACGTGTGTACTGCTCATCAGTTCGCTCCGTCCTTCTCTATGGCTCTGAAACATGGCCAATACGCGTTGAAGACATGAAAAGGTTGACTGCTTTCGATCATAGATGTCTGCGATCTCTGTCTCACGTTAGGTGGTTTAATAAGGTAAGTAATGTTGACGTTAGGCGTAGAGTGTTGGGCAAAGAGGGAAAATCAATCGACGAGGCTATAAAGTTACATAGATTGAGATGGCTAGGTCACGTGCTGCGCATGCCTAACCATCGCCTCCCCCGACGGGCATTACTAGCTGATATAGGTGCAGGTTGGAAAAGAGTGGGTGGTGGCCAAACAAAAACATGGCCTCATCAATCCATGAAATCCTTGACAGTTAAACTGAGTCAGGTAGGGAGATGCAGACTTCTGGGTTGGGCCCTCGGGACTCTAGGAATCAATGGCTGGAGACAATAGGTGACATGGCTCAAAATCGTTGTCAATGGCCAGTGCAGATGTATTTAGTCTCTGTAATCTTTCATATTCCTTTCTACCATTACCCATTCTGTTTCACTCTTATACTTGTCAAACTCTATTGATTCTCTTCACTCATCTTGTCTACCTTTGTGTGCTATTTGGGACGTGGCAACTCGAACTGGTGCACTTCGGTGCTAAGTTCTATGTTGAATCCTGACAGACAGGGTGATATAAGTTTAAGTTGAAATAGTTATGGGTAGCGAGGTCAATACGTAGCATCATTCCGTAGAGTCACCGAATGTTGGCTCGAGCCACGTAGGGGGTGTAGGGTGCGTGGCTGAGGTCCATAAGTCACCCAGAATCAATGACTGGAGACTTTTTTGATATGGGTCAGAATTGTTTTCACTGGTGCGGACGCATTCGCTTTTTGTGACTTCCTAGATCCACGAAGCCACCACGTTCCTTCATGTAACTATTCTTCCTCCTGTCACTGTAGTTCTTTGGGATTTTTTCTTTCTCTACTTTTGTGGGTTATATAGTGTGATGACTTGAACCGCCGCACTTCTGTGCGAATTTCTATCTTGAAATTTCAGTTCGGTTAGTAGCCCTGTGACTGGTTATTAGTTTACGAAGGAATAAAGATAATCCAAATCGTGCTTTTGAAAGCGATTTATTTACGTTCTTTAGAAGTAATTTCCCGGAAGCTAAGGGCACTACTAAGTTCAGCTACACATATATGACACGTAGTTGTCTCGTTTTAGCCATATAAGACAAGTATTCAAATGCTAACTGTATGTTTTGAAAAGCATCTTATTGGAATGGACTATTAACCCCAAACAAGTGGATTGCATTTTGGGATCTAGTTATATAATTGGGTCCTTAAATCGTCATACAGTGAATGCGCTTCGCTGCTAAGTTTATCAACATACCTTTGATTTTTAAATAGCATAAAGATTATGTAGTTACTGAAGATCTGGGAGTTAAATGTTGTCTAGGAGCTCATGAATACTGGATGGTTCGGTTGGAATTATTTGTGCGTAAAAATACATTTTTTCGCTTAACTTCTGTGGATTGAGCACGTTACTAGTATATTTACTATATGCTACATAAAAGTGAATGCGTTTGCGCGAGGTGTATGCCATATTGTACGCTCGGTTAAGCTAGTACAAAGTCGTAAGGCTAATTCATATTGTCTTAAAATATCGAGTATTTTGATCCTTTCCTGACCAAATGTATCCCTTTTTTAGTGGCTGTGGGGTCCTTCTTTGGATCTTATTATTATTACTATTATTAAAGTAAGGGAAAACAGTGCAGTAAGTAGAAACCACATGCATGTCGGTTTGTTTTAACTGGCTTTACTGCATCTAAGTCCGAATTTCTCAGGAACCGTCATTCAGGTTAATTCAACCACATTCCATCCGTGTCCCTCCACGGATTTAGTGGCATTGAGAACTAAAAGCACTTGTCTTAAGTATGGTATGATATCTAAGCTCACATCTCTATGCATCTTGTTCAACGAGTTATACTGTATTATCACATTTACTTAATTTCCGTCATACCTAAATAGTTTCCTAGAAACTGAAGGGATTATTTGCGATAGAAATTATGAGATTGGTTCATTGTTCAGAATTATTAGCTTGAGATGACATAATCTTGATTTCAAAGTATTCCCTCAAATTCATAAGAAGGCTTGTAATTTAGTTCTTAGGACTAGGATGATGTTCTGACCTTTCAACTTCAACTCTACTTGGTAGGATCTTTTTAACATGACTATAAGGTTAATATAACAACTAGTTTTGTAATTTAAATCACATGACCACAGTTATTCACCAAACACTAACTGTTGAATAACTTCAGTCGGAATTCTACAAAAAGTTGAATTGATTCTGCGTGAATTCACTAGTTAATGCACTTTATTCAGCATTATAAGTTGACTGACACGAAAAAAAGTTGTAAATGTCTCGCCGTTTACCTGAAAAGAGGTAGAATATCAATATAATGTATTCAGTGTACAAATCCATATTTAAAGTAATAAAGAAGTTTTTAAGAAAACAAAGCTAACGAAATTTAATGATTTTGTTACTGAAAAGTTTTCTTTTGAAAAATATGAACAACAATTTTGTATCCCCCTCCCCCCAAAGAGAAACTTGTTGAAGATGCTATCGTTGTATTAATCCTGTCAAGATTTCTATTCTTCGTTTTCCTCGTTGTCGTCGTCGTCATCGTCTTCTTCATCTTCCTCTTCATTGTTTGACTTGTTTAAAACTGCATTGTAGCGACAACTCAAGAATTGAATATAATTTTCTATCTCTCTCTTAATTTTATCTTTTTCTGAATCTGATAGATGTCGCATTGTGTTCATATTTTCGTAAGCTTTTGAAATCATTTCTAACTGTCTGTATAATTCATTTTCTAGTCGATCAATTGCTGATAAGTGAACACTGAGTATCTCCTGATTTTTTTCATCATTGTTACTATCTGATTTTCTTGTCGCATGACTGAAAGAAGTTGAAGTTGTTTCATCCAAATCAGTCTTCATTACCTATTGCGACATACACAGAAATGATGAATATTGGATTTTTGCATTTTTTGGTAGTTAAGAATCATATAATTATTTTCAACAATATCACTATGTTCTTCATACATTTTTAAGAAAAGTAAGTATATCATAGAGCAGAATATGTAAGTGTGAACCTAGTGCCTGTCATTATAACCAATGGTTAGTTTCCTCTGCACTCCATTCCTAATAACTGAGGAACTAGTTGCTCGAATGCATATTTTGGTATAATGTGCTCATACCTGTGATTTTCGGCTGGTATTTCTGGACTGAATGGATTGGCCTCGTTTTAACAAACGAATAACGTCAAGCCGTACGCGTTATATAGATGAAGTGATTGTCATAGCTCAATAGCCTAGCGTCTAATTCTTTAGGCGTTTGAAACAATTAGTGATGTTTTAAATCCTTATGGAAATATCACTATGCACTAGGATGCGTCTATATTCAGCTAGATAGTCGTAGATGGGATGAAATAGGCGTCTCACATTCCACTGTTAATCAGCTCAGGGTAAATAATATAGTTCATGTATTAGAGGTAAGCAAGATAAAATGCATTTTCATCTTAATTTTTCTACCGAAATTTGGTTAATTCATTAAATCCTGCTTTATTAACTTTTGTTGCCTGTTTTAAATTCGTATCGGGAAATAAATGTTTCCATTTCTTAAAGAAGCGTTTAGCACATACTTACTTGTTTTCGTACGCCTTTTAATGGAGAGTAAGAATTCTTATCTGCATTTTTTGCATCTTTGTGCATTCCAGGCATCAATATTCGATTCCCATCACTAGCACTTTGTTCTGAGATATACATTCGCAGAAGTTCTTCAGCTCGGTCTAATACTTTTTGAGGAACAGCAAAATGTTTGGCAAGTTCAACAGCTAATGGGGTGGAAACATCAGTAGGATTAGTGATTATTTATGATTCTAAGCTAACACTTGTCATATTTATGTAGTATGTATAAATTCGTACAATGATTGCACTATGTTAGTAATAATTACTCTATTATTTTGAGTAATCAACATTGTAGACAATGTCACCCAACTGGTTAACTCAGTGCTCATTTGTTTGTTGATAAAAAAATACTGATAAAAATACTAGTCTTGCCCTATAAAGGTTTAATTGGAACATCCAAGTGCAGGATTTCATCGGTAGGGTGATTTAACATTGTGACACGCTGTAAATTCATGTTGATGGGAGTAACCAGTAGGTTATTAGCATTGACTGGCCTAGGTTTCATGCGTGTTAGTAGCCGACAGCAAGACATCTAGGGCGCTAATGAAATTCATACTCCTTCGGCATAAAGTAGTAACCATCAGTTACCAAAAGAAGATCCCGATATTTGAAAGTGAATTTAAGATAAGTTCCTGTGGTTGTAACTTTCTAGAAGCATTGTATTCGTATCAATGACAATGGAAAGCATTTCTTATTCGTATTTGAAAGGTACTTGAAATTTCTTCAACAAAAATCCTTTAAAATCGCATTGGTCCGGTTTATAACACTTCTAAACAGCAGAAAGTTTGAACCAGAGATTGTGAAGACAACAAGGAATAGTGTTGAGGTAGCTTTTGTTTTCTAAGGAAACAACGAAGACGGTATACTTTTATTACCGGAAGTGTTAGCTGTCCATAAACATAAGTCCTTTTTGTGTCTGTAAAGATACTTTAATATAGTCTTTGTCTAATTACGTAATCAACAGTACTGACACAACTTCCTTTTTCCTCATCTCCCTCCTTACACTTAGATTTATCGTCTTATTTATTTTAAGTGGACTTCCATTTCTTTATTTAATATAAAGTGGATTGGTGAGCAAATGTGTGATCAGATTTATTTGAATTCACCAAGCAATTATAAGACATTCTTCCCACCAAAAAATCTTGCCTCTGTTCAATTCTTGATATAAGTATAAAACTTGGGCACTGTGATAGAGTATAACTCCATTATTTTGATAAATCACACAGTGTTATACAATAATATACAGTAATAGTTTGTGCTCGAAATGTCATCAGTTAACATTACTGTATAAAACCGTGTGATTTATGAAAATAAAATCTTTTTAATTCTGTATACAATTGGTGGATGGTGGCTAGCAGTGGAATCCAGGATGCGCATTTCGTCCTAATTGGGACTCGTCAGCTGGATGTACCTGCATTTCTCAGTGAGTGATGATGTTCTGTCTAGATTTATTAAAGTAAAACATTTCAGTAACATATTACGTAGTCACGTGAAATAAAATGTACACTATTGCATAGATAAAATAACTAGTATCGAACAGTATCAGAAAACGTCCAGTTATGCAGATAAGTTATGAAAACATGTCTCTCGTTCGGTATCTTGATGATTTTCATCTGGCTTGCAAGCACTACTGTTTGATGTGGTCGAATCCCGACTGCTTATGTCAAGTAGGGAGAAGTTCAACAATAGCGTCCCATGAGTGCGAACGCCCCTGGTGCTAGGCGTTGGCTGACAGCAGCTGTCATTATCATACCTGAAATATCAACGCTACTCACCAACTAAGCAGCAAATTTTTCACTCATGTCACGTTTTTAAGTCCTGATTAGACAATGTGTTAACAGCTCGTTAGGGTTTAGGTAAGTATTGGGGTTAGGGTTAGGATCAGGGTCATAATTAGCAGTAGGGTTAGGTTTACGGTTAGGATAAGGGTTGTCAGGGTTTGGGTCAGGATTAGGGCTAGGGCTGCAACTAGAGATAAATTTAGAGTTGATGTCATTTATATTAATTTGGTTTCTTATCCACATTTTCCTGGTAAGTAGTCGTCGATCCTTTTACTGGCAACCATTGTAATTCAACCGGGGGCTTTTGGGGAAGACTGCACAACAGGATAAGGGAGATAACAATTAACAAAAACAGCTCATCTTTAGTCACCTCGGTGAATACATGTACAGAAACCAGTCTAACTTAGCAACTGATACTCCTCATTATAACTGGGACGTATTTTTAAGTCATATCAAAGAAAGAAAACTTGTTTAATATGCTTTAATGCATTTTCTTGTAAATATACGTCATTTTTTGTGCAAAAGTCACTTATTTTTATGATCGGTCACCTGAAAGTCACTTGTGCGTTCTCATTCCTTGGGACGCTATTGTTGAACTTTGCCGTCAGTAGTATGTAGTATCATACTATTCAGTAATCAATATTCTAACGATAATAAAGGTAGTTATTATGTGTTTATTCTAAGATGTAAGTGCTACAGTTATTTCACTTCACTTTAAAACATTTAAGGGAAAATTAAGGCAAATAGTATTCTTCAACTGATCATTGAGTATAATCAACCAACATATCATTGAGTATTAATAGGTAGGCAAACATATATGTGATCTTAACAAAATTATATGTGCTTACCATACAAAACTTTGGGTGGTTTCCCTTTAACTAGTTTATATGTGAATGTAATTCGAGTAGAATCACAGGTATATGAAGCCAACAATCCAGAATAATTTCTCCATTTTTTTATTCTGGAGCTATCGTGTGTCTCAGAAAAACTATGAACCAATGGAGATTCTATAGTAAGAGTGCTACAATTAACACTCGATGTTGCACTGCTGTCCAGATCAACTGTATGATGTCCACGATAATCATCATTTATTGATTCTTCATGTATTGAAAAATAATAACTAGAACATAATTTAAAAAGTGTGAGGTGAGTAAAAGTTTGTACACCTCAATGGAAGAAAAATTGAAAATTATGATCTAGACAATATAAAGTTATTTCGACAAAACGATTATTAACTAAAAGGATGTGAGGAAACGATAGGAAGGGTATTGTAGATTTCTCTTAGTCATTTCATTCTTAGAATAAATGCCTATTATCTAGGTGATAATATGATCTATTTTTTTTTCAAACCATAGGTGGAATGTAACAAATAGAAGTGTGAAATAATTCCCCTCACCATCTTATAGTTATTATCGCTCCTGATTTGTGTTGGTGGCTCAGCGGTAGGATGCTTGTCAGCCACGCGGGAGAACTGGGTTCGATTTCCCGACGATGTACTCATAAATCTCACATAATCGGTGGAAGGACCCGTAAACAGTGCGTCGGTAGCACAGTGGTTAGGACTCTCGCCGATCATGCACATGGCCCGAGGTTAGACCCCTTGCCGACCCACACCTGATATCTATGGTCGGCCTGCAAAATTTGGGCTACCAATATCCATGCTGAAAATTCCATACATGTACCAAAAAGACAGTGTGGAATCAAGCTGTAATCAAAAATAAAAAATAAAAAAAATAAAAAAAACTAGTTATGCCACTGTGTAGGAACAACAGCCCCTACTGCAACTTCAAAAGCTTAAAGCCCTATATTTCTTTCAGAGAGTAAAAAGATAAAAATATAACTCCTAGTGAAATAATTTACTAATAATTGATCGAACTTCTCCATAAGTAGTGTCTCCAATTAACTAATTTAGATATCTTCCGATTCAATAAGTTTTTCCATAAATGTTTATAAGCTAACATTACTGAGAACGAAGTTTCCCCTTCAACTGCATGAAAATTTTAGTCTAGAAAGAAACCGCAGTTTTATTATGACAACTAAACAGAAAATGTTAATGAATTTCTTTAGATTAGAAAATAGCTTGCTGCTTTAGAGGAAGGAAAACGACGTTTTGTAACTGATTCTCCTACATATTATCCAATTAATACTGCAAGTATAACCGAGAAGAAATTCAAAAATGCTTTTCTTAAGGGGGTTGATTATCATTTTTCTCTGAAATAATCATCATCACCTGATGTAGATTCTTGAAAAAGTGTATCACCAAACTCCCTGACTGGTGAATGCCATGAAAAGTTCAGTTATGGTTTGAAAATCAACCTGTCTATGTGTTTTCTACCCCTTAATATATTAATAGAAACATAAGTTGTCATATCATACTATATTTTGATAGAAATATTCACTAAGTTGACAAAAATCTACCAATTGGCAGAGCGTTTCTGACACTACTCATTATGGCTGCAAAGAGGTGGCACTGGTTCAGTCAAAAGCACTATATTTGAACACCTCGTCAGAACCTATCATAACATCTCAACTAACATTATTCCGCGATATTTACAGAGTATGCAGAAGTCCTCCAAAGCCAGTGTGTCTGAGACCCTTTTTGTACTTCAGAAACTCTCGCTATGTTCAAAATAAACTAATCCAACCTCTACATTTACCATGGATATAGTTATGTTTGGCTCCTTAGTTTTCGTTTGTCTATTTTTCATTCCCTTCAATTTTTTATGAACATTCATAAAAAATTACTGCTTCAGTTTGTTTCTATGGAGATCCCGTTCACACTTATGTCTTGGTGAGAAACTGTTATAAATTTTAGATAACTATTTTCTAATCCTATGTAATTTTGATTCAATGCGCCTTGTGATCTGTATTCACATCTTCAAACTTGCAAATCATGTCTTTTAATTGTCCTTTGTTAACATGTTGATATAAATAATAATTGTAACCATATGAGCAGCTTATAGTAAAAATCATGCAATTGTACAACATTTTTGAGAATAAAAGGTATTTTTATTGAGCTTTTTGTCCTTTTCTGTTTAATATTTAAAATAATCCCAGTATGTTAAGTGAATAAAAACAAATTCTTCAGAGGTGCTTCCCCCCCCCATAGTTTTTGATTAATTAAGGTAACTACGACCTGGGAAGTGAAATTCATTATAATAAAGATTTTTGTATTTCCCAATGAATGAAAAACAAAACGATATTGTTTTTACTGACGTTTCGCTATCTAATGCTAATAGCTTTCTCAAAGTATTATTAAACCAGAATTTACAAAATCTCAGCATATATATATAACAAAGAGTTAAGGGGTGAGAAAATAGACTTAGGTCAAGTTAAAGGGACATTTTGAAAATCAAAATAGCGATGAACATCACTAAACCCAATAACAAAGGTAATAGTACGTCTGTTATGACATCGACCACCGAGAAATCCAGCTGAACTAGAAAAACTTGAAAAATCATCAGCCATAGGTCTACATGGTATAGAATCAGGCCACAAAACTGATTTTGACAATATTGAAATAATCCAGAAAAAACCTCAAAAATCACAAAGAAGCACTTCATACCAAATGAAATCCAAATTGCCTGAATAGGAATGATGGACTAAAACAGAATTTGACCTGGTTACAACACCTCCCTTCCCCATGAAGTGACAAAATCAACACGAATGTGATAAGCAAATTCACTATGTTAACACACACTACTTTTTATAATTTTACACACTGATCAAATCCACCAATCTACACTTGATTTTGTTATCTTCACCAATTGACCAACTTGACAATGAAAAACAACCCTAGACAGACGAACGATGATCAAGTTAGTAAACTTTATTATGATATCATAACAGATGCACTATTACCTTTGTTATTGGGTTTAGTGATGTTCATTGCTATTTTGATTTTCAAAATGTCCCTTTAACTTGACCTAAGTCTATTTTCTCACCCCTTAACTCTTTGTTATATATATATGCTGAGATTTTGTAAATTCTGGTTTAATAATACTTTGAGAAAGCTATTAGCATTAGATAGCGAAACGTCAGTAAAAACAATATCGTTTTGTTTTTCATTCATTGGGAAATACAAAAATCTTTATTATAATGAATATCATATACCTAATGCCAAAATTTTTTGATACTATTAAGAGTGAACATGGTTTGGACATATGTAATGAAATGTTTCAAAATCTTTTATATAATAATTCAGTCAAACTGGTTGTCCAATATGTTACAGCATAACATCTATCGTTTGTTTTATCTACTTAACTGTTGTCATAAATCAACTCTCCCTTCACTCTTCATATATACATATATATTTTCTGGCAAAGTACACTAAATCAGAATAGGTATTCGTTTGTGGGGGGTGGGGTTGGGGGTGGGGAAAGGCAGAAACAGAATAGAAGTTAATATACACGGAAACCTATTTACATTTAATTGAATTTTCTAGCGATTTCATTCCTAAAATAAAGACTTTTATCTGCTGCTTCTGGATTACCTTTAGTTCAGGTATATAATGGATCTTTTTACTTATCGCGTAAATACAGTTTAGACAACTTTTTAAATGATACATATATATTTACTTACTTTTCTACATTTGGATAGACAGAGGTTAAAAATGTCATTTCATGTCGACTGCTAGCAAAAAATGTGAATGCCTTAAAAAAAAAGAGAAAGTTAAATATGTTTGACTGAATACAGAAAAAACACACATACATAACGAATTTGGATTGTTTCAACTCATGTCTCAATAATATTGTGAATGCATGTTCATGTAGACTGTAAGGGATCAGCTAGGTAATTGATTTCATAAAATTACTTTATTGAATATATGGATAATTGTACATTAACTTCAATATGCATAGTATTGGTTAGAATTAATACGTAGTTTATTGATGATGTCTTCTGCAAGAATCGTGAATAAAGAAGTGCCGTATTATGGTGTAGAGATGAGGAATGAAGGTCAGTGTAAAACAATATAGTACGTATGAAATAAAGACAAAAAAGGCGTAATGCGAACTTAAGTTTCAGTTTAAGGTTGGTATATTTCGACAACACTGTGCATCCTTTGGTCAGACTAAAAGAATTCAGCTATCGAATACCAATGAGTTCTGTTGCTTCGGTGGCACAGTGGTAGAACGCTTGCCAACCAAGCAGGTGGTTCGAGGTTCGGTCCCCAGCCGGTGCAGTCCTTCACCTCGCTAAGCTAACTATAGGACTGGTAAAGAGAAAAGGTTGGGTATGAGGCTAGCAACGCCTTCCCGTAAAAATAAACACCACTGCTACAGAAACTTCAAGCCTCTATATTGAAGCCCTATGTTCCACTGAGAACGTGAAGGAATTAAAAAAAATAAAATACCTCTTTCTCAAATTAATCCCATGTCACCTAACATTGCCGGTGGAGAGAGACGGTAGCTGGTCATGCACAACAAGCATCCTAGTCATCTCAATCCACACAGCTTCACTACCTCGTCAACTTACTCTCCGTATCTATCACTCCACGCCTAAACTCAGTATTACTCCTTAAATCACACCACTGAGAAAACATCTCTGATCAAAGACAGCTAGCCTCTATATCTTCCATTTTCTGTGGCAATGTCTCAGTGTGATAAAGGAGGACAGAGCCAACCGCTGTGCGGTACATGCGTCTTTTGATCAATAACCAGAAATAACGTCTACACTAAAGACGAAATAAGTCGAGAAATGCCACATGAACCTTATGTATCCGAGTTAAAATTTCGTCAGCAATCAGTCCATTAGGACTGATGAGTGAAGTAGTCAGTGTGCTCTACCAACTCACTGTCATATATTTAAGCTAGGAGTCGGTGATTTCCAGTCTTGCAGCATCATCTTACATTTGACGAGAGCGAATCTCATGCCAAACATCCGCAGATTGCTGCTCAAGGTGTTCAGAAGACTCTGCATTTTATCAGCGTCGTAATGTAGGATGAAGATATCGTCTGCATACTCCAAGTCAATAGTACTGCACCCTGATAACAAGTAAATCTGTGAATTGCTAAAGTCAGTTAGATTCAATTCTATTTACTATAATCTTTTCAAAAGTATGAGGAGCATAGGATTGTCTTTTGAAAAAAACTGAAACGATAAAATTACTAGAAAAAAAGTACTAGAATAAACATTTCACCGATAAACAAAGTGTTCAGTTCAGAACTTACTTTATGTTGCAAAAGTGCTTCACAGATTGCTATGTTCAGATGTCTTGCTTCATCAGGATTTGTATCTTAAAAAAAGAAATTGAAAGGTATATCTAGTACAATGTAACCGAATAAGATTCTTGGAACAAAAAAGAGAAGTTCAGGATATTTAGCAGAGAATCAGAAAACTGGAGAAACTTCGTTTCTTTATATGAATTTTAAAAAAGCAACAAATTTATAGGATGTGGAGTTCAATTAATTCACAGCTGAACAGTCTAACTATTTAGTGTTGCTGTTTTACATGCTAAATCAAAACAAGTGATACAAATTGTCCGGGTGATCTCATGGCTTACTATATGCAATGAACTTATTCAATAGCATCTTCCTCTGCAGTCAATATTCACAACGAAATGGTATCTTTTTTATATAATGCTGATAAATACTTCCTTTCCAAAATTAAAAAATATTAATTAGCGAAATCAAAGCCTGAAGACTTTCAAAAGTTTCTTACCAAATAGGTAAGTGATTCAAATGCCAAGTTCTACAGAAATTCAATCAACATATTGATCTTTATTTTTTTCGTGTTTGTTGCTTGTTTTAAATAATACGAGGTCAACCACCCGGCTGTTCATCCTTCCTGAGAATTATCAGTTATAGGCGAGTGTAATTATACGGTCGGTGGCGCAGCGGTTAGGACGCTCGCCGACCATGCACATGGTCCGAGGTTCGATCCCCGGCCGACTCACTTCTTTACCTCACTAAGCCAGTAATAAAACCTGGTAAAGAGGAAAGGTTGGGCATGAGGCCAGCAACCCCATCCTGTAAAAGTAAACACTGCTACAGAAACTTCAATCCACTAGCTTGAAGCCCTAAGTTCCACTTGGAACGTGAAGGAAAAATTATTATTATTAATTATACAGGGATTTGTCATTATTGACATTTTTTCCACATTATACAGTAGCGAAATTATTTTCTTTTAATTGGAGTGAGACCATTTATGCCTAGGGTGCTATACATTTCTTTCGTAATTTGGTTACTGGATATAACCTCAACAGCAGATTATTATTTCTAGATCCTTCACTTCACCGGTAAGATAGTGGGCATCTCAGTATGACTGTGATTAATATCAAATATACTTCTCAATTGTCAATAATTTTAATATAGCAAAAATATTGTTATGTTGTGTTTTATAGATGTCAATAATTTCTTTTGTTTATTTACCTTATTGACTTTACTTCGATTCGGGTGACTTCTGTCGGTATACACACTACAGTTTAACATACGTTCTTATATCTGCAGTTATTTTTACATATGATATTTAGGAATAAACGTTATTGACAGTATTGGTGTTTTCTAAATAATATCGAGTTGTTACGACCTGTAGTTTACAGGTTTGTGTAAGTAATAATATGCATAAAAGTGTAGTACTATATTAAATGTCAGTTAAAATCAAGAAGGAAATTCATGCGACAATTAAAGATTGATAAAACATTGATGGCCAAGGTAGTGAAAGAGTCTGTACGAATTTCTTCTGATCATATAAGTTAGACCTACTTTAGGTGGATTCTGACGAATTCAGCTATATTGTAAAAGATGAACTCGTAAAATTGAGAATATTCGGAATACTGTAGATAACTTTCAAAAAGTATTTTAACATCGGTTTTGAGTTCAGTATTCACAAAATGAGCTAGAATATTACTGCGAATAGACCTGCTCTGCCCACGCAGAATGATGCTCAGGAATCCGGTGATAAATATGCCTGATTGTACGCCCAGTGAAACTAGTTCCACAGGAGCGGGGAAACTGATGGATACACATAAAAGTTGAGAAGCTAAGTAGTTTATTCTAAGCTACCGAAAGTAAAATAGAAGTGCTGTTGAAGAGATGGTGAACTTCTGCTGCAATGAATGCGCTTTTTACTGTATTCCTTAAGCGTTGTGTTGGTAATTCACTGATGGTATCACCAAGAAAATGCAGTTAAGTATTATATGTAAATGTAACTGCAGAGGAAGTCATCAAGAAGACTATTCTTCGCTCCATCTTCTGTTTTTTATCTTCTGAATGTCTAAATGGGGATTTTCGTGACATTCATATCTGGCGATAATTTGCATTATGAGGTCATTTGTTCAGTATCAATTATCAAAGAAACTAAGTAATGGGAAACAAAAGTGACCACCATTTTCTACCATACTTAGCCTTAAATACAAAGTAAAAAAATACCCAGTTACACTTAGAAATATCAGTTAAATAGGGAAAATGAACTAAGTTCCCACATAGGGACTGGAATCAATGTCAACACTTTTTAAGTATAAACACGATTTGTGTTTCGACTACCAAAAAAAGAAAATGACTTACTGTGACATAAGCCGTCAATTAAGATGATGGATGATCGTGAAAAGTTTTGTAGAATATATCTCAACCCTCTTATCTGTAATTTAAGAAAAAAAGTGTTCAGAGATTGAATGTACAGAATGAGAGGTTAAAACTTCAAAAGCTTAGCTAACACATTTTATGCAAAAAGAAATATTGAATTTCCACTATAGAATAATTTGATTTGATGGTACTGATGACGTGTTTCGAGCACAATTTATTGCTCATAACCATATCAAGCTACTCACACAACTTTTTCCTTCATTTAAATACATGTGTGGAATATGTATATAAATGAAGGAAAAAGTTGTGTGAGTAGCTCGATATGATTATGAGCAATAATTTGTGCTCGAAGCGTCATCAGTTAATATTTCTGTGTAATACTGTGTGATCTATCAAAATAAAATCTTATCTATAGTCTACTGCAGTGCCCAAGTTTTATACTTATGTTAAGTGCAGATTTGACAAATAAAGATTCATTGGTCAACCTTACCCTTCACATACGTAAATTACATTCTAGAACTGTAGTTCTATCCCACCCAATTGTGTGATTGTGTGTTATTGCGATTGCTGAATTCTATACCAAATATCCAATCTGACAGGTAACAAACATAAGATCGATACATCTTACAGGTGAATTATAAAGTCATGCATACTAGAACAAAATCTTAAAATTTGCACGATTGTACTCTGAGGGTAATAAGTTGGATCTCCGGTTTCTTATAAATTTTTCTAGTTTCGATACTATTTACTTTTTAGGTGAAACTGAGCAACACTTACATGGTTGTGCATATACATTCTTCATTCCCAGAAGCCACCTCCAAGATAATTTTTATTGATAACCATAGTTGAAATAACTATCACTGTCAAAGTATCACGATGTGTGAAATACACGATTTATGTCTTACATATAATTAAATTCTAATCTTAATTTAATTGTTGTGTGAATTAGAAGTACTCGAATCTTCTACTTTTTTATTAACCCAATGATAATAATGAGGAATAAATAGTTAGTTCGATTGTACTGATTTCTACGCTTCCAATATTTTGTACCACTTAAGTACACAACAGACTGTATATGGATTCACTAAATGTCTGACTTCAAGAAATTCCTAGTTATATTTTAAAACAAATTCAGATAAACACGTGGATCACGTAGAGGACCGATGAAAATTAAAGGGATTTCAGGAACAGTGGGCACGTACCATTCTGGGGGCAATGAAGCGCAACACCATAAAGTGTTGTGGCGGTTTTTATATGCTGAAGTGACCACAAAACCCGATACCCACTTGGTGAATTTTATATTACTAGTGTAGAAGATTCTTATAACTTATTCATTTAAAAGTGATTCTTTCCCTTCTTATATCCCAGTGATGCTGAAGGTCCTGAAAAACTGGTGACAGTTCTACGAATATGTACTTAGTATCTGGTGCAAATAGAAGTTATCGCAAGGTGTTTTCTCACATAGTGTAGCAAACGTCACAATTGAGATATTACAGCTATGCAAGAAAGTTGTTTAAACACCTGGAAAACGGTGAAACGCAACATTTGATACGATTATAGAAGTAGGATAACTAAACGAGTAGGACTTTAAATCAATGGTTTTATTAACAATGATTGTTTTGTTAACTGTATATATCAGGGTAAAAAAAGAATCCAGTCAGTTTTTACTGTAAGTTGTTAGATATGTTTTGCTGAGTTGAAGATGATAATATACATGTATCATTTACTGCTAGTTTTAGTTAATCTCCTTCAGTCTTAATCAAAGGATGAATCGCCTGCTCTGAAAACATGATGAACAATGCGTCGGTGGCACAGTGGTTAGGACTCTCGCCGACCATGCACATAGTCTGAGGTTCGATCCCCTGCCGACGTACACCTGATATCTATGGTTGGTCTGCGAAATTTGCGCTACCGATATCCATGCTGAAAATTCCATACTTGTATCAAAATTACAGTGTGGAATCAAGCTGTAATCAAAAATAAATAAATAAAAACACTCTAACGAGATTTTTTTTCAAGTAGTAGGGTTAAATAGGATAAAAAAAGAGTCTTATTCATAATTTATATTAAGATACATCATAATTTCATTCAATGTATTAATAACTTCTGGTAGGTTTTTCAATAATTTAAAACGGAAATTAATAATTATAAGCATAGTATTAACTTACCTCGTTAGTAAAGCTTGATTCCCCTAACATTAGATTATCTTTTCCACCTTTGTGATAGAATATATGATCAGCTATTCTTACTGCAGCAAATTCAGCCGGTACTAAACAACCTATTTGTGCTAAAATTTGTATATAGGCTATTTGTCTCAGGTAGGTTGTTTTACCAGACTAAATGTTGAAAAAAACAGACATTATAAGCATTGCTTTTAGTTATTTTTTTCTTAAAATATATGAATACAATGAGTACAATTCTAATAAAGTGACAATTTGGTAATAATAAAAATTATCCGTTGAGTTTGCTTGTTTGTTTGCCAAAAACACATCTACTAGAACTTCCACATATCTACCTAAGTGGCAAAGCATTTGACTGTATAAAATGTATTACAGTGTAACTACATTTGGAATATATTCTTCTCTCTTCAAGTATTGGTTTTGAAGGGGTTTGATTGATTAGTTACAGGATTTCATCATGAGCTGAGTTCCAACCCAGGGACCTTTTGATTACAAAATCCCTACAGAACCAATACTTGAAAATTTATCAGATACTCACCAGCGAGTGGTCCCATTCAGGGAGTTACTTGGGGTTCTAGTGGGAAGCCGTGACCAGTAGGGTACAGAAGGTCGAAGATGACGACAGTTACTCATCGAAGAAGATATTGAGAAGTGGTCGCGCTATGTCGTGAATAGGTGGAAGTTAGAATTCACGGGCTACTGGATTGGGTTCCAGTGGCTTAATGGTCTACGTTCTCACCTTGTAACCAGAAGGTCCTGGATTCGAACCGTATCGGTAGGTGCGTACTGATGAAGATTTCCAAACTAGGATGGAGGAAGCAGCTGTCCATTACTCCCAGGTTTTCTAATGGTTTTCTAACCAATGTCAACTCATGATATAATCTATTTAAAAAGACTCTGTTCACTAGAATGATCACGTATTCTAAAGACAAAGTCGTATTGATGTACTTTTTTCACCAAGATTCTTTGTAACATCTACCATATACTACTGTTTGTTAGTTTAATCAATGCAGGAGAAAATAATATTTCACTTCGGTGATCATTAGTGACCAATGTAATAGAAATAAGTAATATTTTATATCTACAGTAGCCAATATTAATATACTTATAGAAACACCTATATTGCTTTCTGAAACAATGTATATAGAACAGGAATACTATTTTGTTGGGGCGATTATGTTTACGTCTGACTAGTGCTTCAGTTATAAAAAATTTATGAATACGTAGACTTTTGAACAAAATTCTAAATTCTGTATTCAAAAATGTTTCGTAAAGCCATTTTCTTAATCTTGACCTCAATAATGTTTTCTCTGTTTAATTTCATACCACTTCACTTTGTCTCCCCTATCACTATTTCTATCATCATTTTGGTTTAATTTCTCTAATGGAATTTAATCTACTTTACATTCTTTAGTATCAGCTCCTTCCTTTGATAAATTTCTTTGTATTTCATTCATGTCTAGCCTCCTTGTAATTATGCTAATTGGTTTTTGTCAGTTGTTCATTTGATTATGGGTCTGATCATGAGTTTATGTCAGTTAAAAAAGCTCTGAAAAGCCAGGTAATACGGGACAGCTGTTTCGTCGTATCCTGAGATTCTTCAGTACTACCTACACCCCTTGGATTTGAACCAAGGTTGCAAGGCTAGCTCGTAAACCATTCAGCCACTTGGACCCGATTTACTGACACATGAATTCTAACTTATACCAATTCGTCACATATAGCCCAACCGCCAGCCCCTTCCATTGACGAGTAACTGTTCTCCAACCTGACTTGATGGACGCTGTCGGTAACCAATTCTCACTACAACTCCAGGCAACGTCCTGTACAGAGGCAGTCGCCGGTTAGCATCAGATTGATTTTCAAGTATTGACCTGCAGGGATCTAAAGAATTACACGTTTTATCACGAGCTGACATCAGTTTGGAAAACAAGTGATTGAAATTTACTTTGGTCGTTGAAAAAGTATTCCACTTTTTCCAAGTAACTGACTTGGTTTAGTGATAAAATATTGGCACTTTTATCGGGCTTGCATATAATTAATTTTTCATTATAAGTTCGTGAATTTGTAAAATGCAACCATTAAGGTTAGTGTTGTAACTGAGGTAATGTAGAGTTTGGGTTCGTCCTTTCTGCCACCGCAGCAAGCAGAAATATAAAACTGATCACTAGAACACTATTCCCACACTGAGAAAGTTTTGGAAGACTGAATGAGTGGGGAGGTAAAGATCTATCGCTAAAAAAAAGCAACAGATAACCAGGCAGGTTTTAGACCAAGAAGAGGATGTGTTGATCATATCTTCACCCTTCAACAGATTCTGGAACATAGGCATGCTTAACGGTGTCCAACAATCGTCATATTTCTTGACCGGAAAGCAGCATTCGATTCCATCCACCGGAAGGTACTATGGCGGTGTTTGGCTGTGAAGGGAATGCCGAGAAAATACATCACAACGATCAAGGCACTCTACTCGTACTCATACAAACAGTTCACAGCCTACCGAGAGTTGTCATCTGCAGTGGTGACAACCGGTGGTGTCCGTCAGGTATGTCCACTACCCAAGTTTCTGCTTAATTTCGTCATAGACGTACTAATAGACTAAACCCTAACCGACTTCAGCGACTTAGGGATGGACTTGTTGCCAGGGTATAATCCCGTCGACTAAGAATATGCAGATCATGTAGTCCTTCTAGGTGAAGACGCTGACAAAATGGGGAGTCTTCTGAACAACTTGAGCAGCAATCTTCGAGTGTTTCGCATGCGACTCTCCCCTCAAATGTAAGATGATCCTACAGGACTGGATTACATCGACTTCTAGCTTAAAGATAGGAGTGAAGTAGTGGAGCATGTTTACCACTTCACTTATTTGAGAAGTTGCATCAATCAACGCGAGCGGGTTGATTGCTTATGAAATCTCAGCACGGATACGAAAGGTTCGTTACGCACATGTCAACTTACACCATCTCTGACACAGATGAGATATTCAGATGTCAGCCAAAGGACGTATGTACTGCTCAGCAGTCTATTTTTTTATTTATTTTTTTTAATTTTTGATTACAGCTTGATTCCACACTGTATTTTTGGTACAAGTATGGAATTTTCAGCTTGGATATCGATAGCCCAAATTTCGCAGGCCGACCATAGATATCAAGGTGTGCGTCGGCGTGGGCTTGAACCGCGGACCATGTGCATGGTCGGCAAGAGTCCTAACCACTGTGCCACTCTGTCCTCCTTTATGGCTGCGAGTGAGACATGGCCATTGAAAGTGGAAGACATGAACAACTGGCTAGCTGTCTTTCATCATAGGAGTCTGCTTTCTATCTCCCGTTTTAGATGGCATAATAAGGCAAGTAATGCCGAGGGTAGGCGTCGAGTGTTAGGTAAGGAGGGGAAATCAACCGACGAGGTTGTGAAATTACATCGATTGAGATGGTTAGGACCTGTGTCACGTGTGCCTAGCCATCGCCTTCCTCGAACGATTGGCAGCGTTTGCTGACATGTTTATAGTCATCCTAAAACTTCAAATTAATCTTAAATAGATAAATTGATAAATTTACGACTACTCACCATAGGTGGCCCTGTTATAATATGAAAATTTGATTCAGCTGATGCATACTACATGAGAGCAAAGGAAAGAAAGTTTCTGTTAGTTATAAATATACACATATTACTGTATGATTTGCTATGCACAGGGATCGTCTTTTCTGAGCTGTAATAATATTTCGTCCATTTTTAATGCCAAGTACATCAGTGAATATTGGATAAACTAAAACAAAGAAAGCAGAAATGTATGTAAAAGATGACAGCTGCTTAATTAGCATGTAGCGGAAATTCAAAATCGTGTTTGCTACACAAAGATCACTGAGTGACTAAAAGCCATCCTGATAAGTGTACGTAACGTGATTATCAGGTTCCCCACCATTGTTACCAGAGTATATCAACTCATAAATTAATTATGTTTAGGTGCTTTTCTTTGCTGGTCTTTCGATGACTTATATAGTCGCCCAGTATCACCGCATACAGCAGGTCTGCATTTCATACTTAGCATCACATTAAAATTGAGGCGATATGTTAAAGATAGTAAAAAACCAAGAATTTTGTTTTAGTAGTGACACTTGGTGTTGATTCGCTGTCTATTAAGATAATAATTATTGTTCTGAAGCTTTGTAAGTGGAAGGCTTTAAACAACTTTGATTCATTCTTCTAAGTAAAGCAGAAAGTTTATTACTTCTGAATATATGATGGTACTATTTTATTCTGCAAAAACTGTTGTTCTTGCCATATTCAAATTGAATTCTATAAATCAAATTTGCCATGTAATCACCAAGCTTGATAACTCGCTGTCACGATGTACTTTGAATTGATGTTAGGTGGTTTTAGGTTATAGGCAGTGACAAAGAAGCACTATTGATGCATTTAGTTCATGAAGCCTGAAAGGTGGAAATAACGATTGACTGTCCGTTTTGAATGTACAGCTATGATATACCTAATTCCACTGTAATAGCAGCAGCTATAAGAAACTATAAGTGATGCAAGTTTACAAAGGATTTAGAACATGATGTAATATTCTGCAAAGTATATTAACATGAGGCGTTGTAAATGATATGTGTTCCTAAAAATTAACAACATTAGGCCCGATCTGAAAACTTTTGAGACAAGTCTAATTTAAAAGAAACACATTAATTTTGTCTCAGAAGTTTTTACATCAAGCTAACTCCTTTTTTATCCCAAATAAACTAATTCATAGAAAGTGTAAAGTGTCTGAATTGGTATACGAATATGATTTAGGCACTGTCGCAGAATAACTTTATTTGATGAAAATCACTTAGAGATACAATATTATTTTCTGATGACGTGTTTCGAGCACAATTTATAGCTCATAACCATATCATGGTAGTTCAATAGTTCTCAGATTTCGATCATATGGTTCTGTTGTCTTTTATTGTTGAATTTTATTGGTTTCAGTATTTTCCATATCACTGGTGCTGGCTTTTCTTCAATATTATTGCATGTGTTAAGTGTAGGTAGATTTAATAAATAAAAATTTAGTGAATAACTTGTTCTATTGTAACAGCAGAAGGTAAGACATGCAAGCCAGGGTATATTTTCAAGTGATCAAACCACTACTAATAAAGATACAGTTTTATTTTCTCTAATTAATCATTGAGCATGTGATTTTGGCGTACATTAAACGACATGAAATAGAATGTTCAAATATACATATCTGGTATTCTGTTGCTAACGCAGTATTGAACTGTTGGAATATGTGAGAATAATATCCGTTGCGACACATTGTCTGTATCACACCACCACACTATCATCTACCTATATCACTTTCTAGAACTGTAGCTCTATCTCACCCTGTTGTGTGTTAGTACATGCATTGCAGATGCTGTGTTTTTTTATAAGCCGTTCATCTACTTGAGATGAATCATTCTAAATATAGTTCAACTCTTATGGTCCCATGGCCTGATTGAACCATAAGTATGTACGTTCACAATCATGTCTGAAGATGAAATAGTACTTACTGATCAGCTGACTATAAAGCTTTTTAGTGTGGACTTTAACTTTAGAATAATATCTCTTACAGTTATATGTGTACAAATATATGACTTACCAAAATGATCTCTTGCGGAACAACTCATTGACATTCTGGCGAAAGAAGCAAGCAGATCCAAGCTAGCTACCACTTCAGATATACGATAAAACAATGCCATATCTGGATGCAGACGCGTAATTAAGTCACAAATTATTCTATCAGCAAAGATCAGACAAAACCGGTAGTATATTATCATTGAAAAAATAAGTATGATAAAAGCAAACAAAACATTCGAATACAACAAACCCAACTAATCCGTTTTTAAACAGTTTAGCAATGAAGCTTAGATTGATGATAGATCAATTCCTATCAAAAGTTTGTTCTCTGAGCCAATATTACACTGCAACTTGCAATAACTAATCAATTTTCTTTACAAGAGGGTAACATAAGATCATCTTCGATATGGTTGTTTAGAAGTAGAATAAATTTCACCAAATACCAAACGACAGAGTATTTTGTACTGGCTGATATTCTTTCTGTTGAATAATTTTTTCTATAAGTATTTATGCTTACCTTCATTATCACAGATTGGAAAGGTGTTGTGTTTTTTGAAACTGGTTTTCGACGGCTTGAAGTGATTGATCCGCCCATATTCTTAGTTCAAAAAGCATATTTAGACTGACTTAAACTTCGTTGTGCTAAAAAGTTTTGTAGGCACTTAAACATATAATTCACCTGCTGTTATTTTGAGGTTATGTGAGTCAGTAAATATTTCATTATTGATCTACGTACCAAGAAGTTATATTATTATTCCCATGGGTTCTGATTGGAACATAAAGCTTCAGCAAAACATCTCCACTTTCTTCCATTTTCTGCTGTCCTCTTTAGCTGGGCCCACGTGGAAATTAAGGCTACAGTAGGAAATCTGTATTCCACTTGGTACGATGTTAGCACTTTCAGTCGGGTCCACGACTGTCGATAGGCTTCCATCTTCTCTTCACACAATCTCCCCATATCAACTTCGACTCTCCCATTCGAGTTTTACTTGAGGGCCTGTCTGGCATGTGATGCTACTCAGTGGTCTCCTCAACATATATACAGTCCACCTGCAATTATTTCTGCTTATTTGCTGGACAATAAGCTGTGGACTGGTAAGCTGCCTATCAGAGTTCCTTGTTTCTTATCCTTTCTGATCGACCATTTAATCTTCAGCATTTAGCTAAGGAACCTACTGATGAAAGTCTCCAGTCTATTATAAATGCTTCTCGCGGCATTCATGCTGACTTTCTGAAATCTAAAGAAGAGCTGACTTTACATCAGTTTTGAAAATAAGAATTTCGTTTGTTGCACTGAGTACCAAGGATCTCCACTCTACCAAGCCTAGTTGGCTTTGATATCTTATCCATGTCTTTTTAGTTGAAACAATGCTATCCGGGTAACTGGAAAATTTTCTCCTTTTGATGGTGATTGATGCTTGTTGTTGTTAGTTAGGCGTCTTCAACACCTCTGTTTTCGCTATGTTCACCTGGAGTATTCGCTGCCTTTCCTGTCAAATTGTTGGGTTTCACTTGAACATCTTTGAGTTTGTGCTAAATGAAACGTAAGTCATTCACGAAATCAAGATCTTCAGTTTGTCATAACTTGTTAGAAAGGCGAAACAAATTCTAGCTTAATATGTATTCACGAGTATGGTAATTTATTCGTACAAGATAGATTTCGCACATCAATGAATAAGAAATCTGAGTTCATAAAAATATTATATTACCAGCTTTCATACAGAGGAGGAATTTTTCAGTAACTTAAAAATCAAGTTACATATCTTGAGTTAGTTGTGTTATCTGAGCTAGTTGATTTAACTGCGAAGCTTTCGTCGTTCTTCTAGACAATATTTTCAGCGTATATTTTAGTATAAAAGTTGCATATCTATTGCCGATAGTTATCTTGATATTCTGTGGAGTTCACTTGCTTGATTTACATAGATGAAATAAATAATCTTGAGGTTGATGAGATATCGGAAATAAATAATGGGTGTTTTTCTTCAGCTACGTTCTTGAAGATGAGTGGCTTAGTTATGAAACTTTCGTCGTCTTTCTAGAAAACATTTTCACTGTTTACTTCAATGTGAATTAGAGTCACGACATTAAAAGTCTTGTAATTAAATTACCCAATTCGAAAGAACACAAGCGCACACAGTAAGCATTTCAAAATATCAAGCTTTATAATTACTTAATTATTCATTTCTTTAGCAATAATAAATCCTCTAGTAGATTGAGTGTATCATTTGCTTCTACTTTTATTTTTACTACTGACGGATAAATCAATCGATGTACTGATTTTGGTTGTAGAAATATAATGCCCACATGTAGTTTATGAGACGGTGAACTCACGTTATCTTATGCATATTAACCCCTTTTTCACACAGTCTATAAAGTGTATTTCTTAGCAATACTAAATCAATCAATTGAAGAAAGGTTATTTTTTACAGGGAAAACTTACTGATCAGAAACATGATAAACTTCAAAAAGACATCCTTTAATACGTTCTGTTCAAAATAAACAAAGTAAAGTTTCAATTTCATAAAAAATTATTTTTTTTGGTAAGCATAGGTGATTAGTCATTTTATTTGCATCAGATTTACATCATTTAAGATATTAAAGTGAAATAAAATTTACAATAAATTTTCACTGAATATTTTTAATTGTAAATTTTAATATGGTAACTTCAAGTGTAAGTTCGACCAAGAAGTGGTCGACAGATGTATTGAATAACCTATTTATACTTGTGATTTCCCTTGTTCTGGATTTAAATGATCAACCTCATTTCGGTATATGATTGCTAACATGGAGATGTGAAGACGTGGCTTATGGGTTTAACACTTGAATTTCAATCATCGCGTTTTCTCTTTGAACCCTACCATGCCTACTTCAGCCTGGGTAATGATATTAGCCCTCACGCAATAAGTGAGGCCCACATATCGGATAATGAAAATCCCTGTTATGTGAACTGAGTTCAAACAAACCACCATGAAGTCATTTATTTGTTGGTGAATAGAAGTAGAATGCAGGAGGCATGTTTTGTTTAAAGAGAGAACTTCAGGTAGTTAGCTTTGCTAATACTGGAATATCCGTTCAAGCTGCGAATCATTTTTCATTTCTGATGAAACAGTGTCCTTGTGAACTGCTATCAAGATTTGACCGAAAAGTTTCAAAATAATTGGGCGCCGAGTGAGAAGAAAACATATGTTAGAAATTATATTTATAAAATCTCTGGGAAATTGAAGTGAGTAATTCCAACGTTTAGTTCGGCAAACTGGTCTGAACTTCTTCAATTTCAATTAATTTACCTGAAGACGTTTGGAATAGTTTGCCAAACGAAACGTTGGAATTACTCATTTTAATTTCGCTGAGATTTTAAAAATATAATTTTATAAATTCCTTTGTGTATCAAATATAAAAGCAACATTTGGTACAATTGAGAAGAAATCAGTTCTCTTCAATCTTGGATTCAAAGATGATGAAGTATCTGGAAGAATTAAGCATAGAATAAATGCTGCTGTCAAGTGAATCTATCTAGCTACCAGGTTAGTAACAGTTTACCAAATAAAGTGGTCACTAAGACAATCTAAGTTTGATAGGTCTCCCTTTCAACTTACCTCCAACTACATATACCACCTTACATGTACGTGCCAAATCACATACATTCGACGGAGGGGGGCAAGGAGAGTATCTGTGACTGCATTTGCAAGCGCATCCAGTGAAACTTGCGACTGAAAGGTACAGAGGACCTTAGTAGTGCGACTCCTCATTACTTGCCAATAGCGGTTATGAGACTGATGCATTCAAATCTTTTACGATACTTACCGCTCAAAACAGTTTCAGATTGTTACGTATTTCTGAAGCATCAGACACTACATGATTCAAATCCAACTTATGAATTCAAAAGGAAACTGTTGTTAATCTTCCCTTCCTGTGTTAAATATACCACATGCGTTATTTTGATTTTGTTCATTTCATTATTTTAATTATAATATATTTTGACAGTTTCATTTCCTACCTGCCCTCTGTCTTTATCTATAATCTTGACAGGATTATTTTTTGACCTGTTCAATAAGATAACCCCTTACGTGTATGTTGTTGATCCAATTTTCAGCATTCATTCCTAATTCTAGATTATCTTTCTAATTACTTCTATACATACCAATTAGCCTGACAATAACTTTTATTCCTCTCTATTTTGTTATTGAAACACGTGATAATGTCCTTCACCTACATGCTGTGTTTACCTAAATTATCTGAATATATTGTACATTGATATTAAAATTGTTTATATTCTGTGTGCAGTTGGGAAAATCCTACGAAATATAATGACGTCATCTTGTCCTGCTCAGTTTGTTCTTCTTGTATCGTTCAGGTTTTTGCGCTAATTAACACACTCGTGCTTGTTTCATCATTTTGACTTATAGATGATACGGCTGTGTATAAAAGAGATACAAATTACTATGGAATTCATTCACTTATAACATTAAACTCATAATCCACAGGTGTATATCTATTTCATCTTGTTGATTAATCAGAACTAACTTACCATTAAGACGGATCTGGAAAAGAAAAGAGAATAAGACTATAATTTATGCTGAATAATAAAATATACACTTCATCTTATTTTAATCCATTCAGAGTTACAGTTTTTTTCGCAAGTGAGTCTTTTTATCATGTGACTTATTTGACACCGCTTATTCTTGCAGATGTCAACATGTTTAAAAGTATTTACCGTTGACATGATTAATTTGGAAATGGAGAAGTTTATAATACAGTAGAGAAGATCTGTAGCTCTAGTAGATGATTTTGTTGTAGCTGGGTTCACTTAGCTGCGTGGTATAACTGAGAAGCTTTCAGTGTCTTTCTATAAACTTCCTCTCTGCTATGTAATGCAATAAAATTTGCTTTTCATTGCAGACACAACCTTCTGGTTTATTTTCTACCCATTGTGATTTCGATTTCATTTGTATTTTGAAAAGTGAACCTCAGGGGAAGGAGGGAAGTCGAGGTTGTGAAGCTATATCAGTTGAGATGGCTGGAAGATGTACTAACCATGTGAAGCTATCACCCGTCGCCTTATCCAGCATTGTTAGCTGACATAGGAATTAGACTGGAAAAGAGTTAGTGGTGGTCGGATAGAGATATGGCATCAAGTCATGAAGTGATTGACTGCTCGTTTGAGTCATATAGAAAGGTGTAAAGTGCATGGCTAGGGTTATTGGTACGCTGAGAACTAATGGGGGAGACGGTTAGAGATATGGTTCCAAAGTGATCTTAATGGGGCAAGAGCATTCATTCTTTACGAAATCTCAGATTTATTAAATTATTATTATTCTCCATGTACTTATTCTTTTTACCGTGCAGTTTTGTTTGTCATAATTTTTGTACATTTATTTTTCTCTGTACTCTGTATATTCTCTGTACTTATATATGCTATAAGTAGTGTACCGAATTCAACTAAAAGCTTTTCAGGTTGATTTTCAGATGTCGTTTATAACAAGGTAGATTTCATTACCAACCGATGATGGTTAGACAATCACTGAAAACCCGGAGAGATAGCCGTTTTATCCTGGTTCAGGACGGTTCAACAATCTACAATCACGAATCTTATCAGGAATAGGACTGTGGACAATATTACTGGCTTTTAGTTGAATTCGCAACTATCTTGAGCGCCAGTGTTAACAAAAACTAGAAAAATTTATTATTTAGTACATTTGAAGTGCATGCATGTGTGTAATTAAGTTGTTCACGTTCCCGGTTATGCCTCCATAATTTGATACTCTGAATACAAATGAACTCTTAAATCAGATTACCACTCATGCCGTTTAGGTAGTTCGTCAAAATAGCACAAAAACAACACTGCATCAAAAACATTATGGAAAATATTTTCATCAGTATTTCTACTGTAAAGCATAAACTGAAGTATGTAGATACGCATGCTTACAAGTGTTTCTGTTGTACATTGTACAATACGTCTTGATGTAATAAGGACTATGAATTCATCCGGGAGATTTTGAAGTGGTGAATCGTTCTTTTTTGGTGTTGTATTAGTTGAGGAACAGTAACCTTTATTACTTTCGGAACGTGGAGAAAATCTTCTGAAATTTTGGCTGTCATCATCGTTCTCATCTGAGAATTTGTTTTCATTAGATAAACTATCATGATTTGAAGCCGATGATCCCTCATGAACTACCTCTGGTGAAGACGGTTTTTTGTAGTTTTTTAATGCATCCTCAGGTATTTGAATGTAAAATCCGCGAGCTTTAGTGTGCGATAATCGTAGAGGAAGATCATAATGACGTGCAAGTCTGTTGACCTCACCTTTTGAGGAAAGCAATACACAAAGAGTAAAATTTACTCATTACAATAAAACAATACATTACACTTTATAAGAAGTTTCTTCTTAATTTGTCTCTGAGCTATAATCAGTTGCGTGTGTAGCGCCACAGAATCATGGTATTTAGTAACAGAATTTTTATTTGGGGAAATGATGTACAGCCATGGAAAAATATACAAACCTCAAATTTCAATTTACTAAAGTTATTCGTATCCTGTTTCTTAATTCCTCCTTTTAATGCTTTCTATGTTGTTTTAAAATGATTTTCATTTCTCCTCTTCAAAACCTAACCTGTCTCTCCGATATTCGAGATTCTTGTAAAAGACATTACACCGTATACTACTTAAAGGTTCCCGCTAATAACACATGAAGAATGATTTACAAATATAATAGACCCATTCTATCCTTTATATTGTTCAAGTATGATAATTTCAGTAATCTATATCATTTAAAGTATATTTATACAAATATTCTGATCGTAGTTAATTATCACTGGTATTCACTGTCAATACACATGTTTAGAATCTGCGGTATTTTTTGAATGTAATAAGATTTATGAAAGAAAATGTTGAAATTTTGGTAGATGAAATATTTTACAACTTTTTAGTTTTTATGTATTTAGTTTAACTGTTGCTAGTATGTATTGCTTTAACACAAAATATCCCAAACTCGCAAACTATGCTTTCTAAGGTGACGTGAAGCATAATTCTGAATAAATTGATTGTCTCTTGAAATAACTGACATTTAGGCTTCTCATTGAATACTGCTCTATCTGGCACTATATAGCTGCTAAAAAATTGACTTTAACTCCCCTGTAAGAACTTCAGAAATTCACTCGCTATCGCCTTTGAACTATTGGGTGAATTAGACCAGGAGGGAGCTAACAATGTAGAAACTGGGTGTATAGCTTCATGCAGCACAGGTAAGTCATTTGCAGATGTTATAGATCACCGTCACTTGAATACCTGCTCAATACTCAGCCCTTGGTGCCCTGTATTCAACTGTATGGGTAGGTTGGAAGAAACTACAGAGTAGTCAGACAGAGATATAGTTAAAATCCATAAAGAGTTATAGGGCGATGGCTTGATTTGCGTGGATTATCTGTTAAGGGTCTGCGTAACCATAAAACCTAATGATTAGAGGCTCTAAGAGTCACTATTTAGATTATCTCCCAGTAATGCAGATGTATTCATGCCTTCATAAAAATCTTATTGTCGAATTATCCCCCTAACCTTACCTTCCATGCTATTTATACAAAAGAAATTTGATACTGACTATAACACTTTTCCTCTTTCTGATTTTATTTTTAATGTTTACCAAATCTGGAGACATAAGATAAGATAGCTTGTACTGCTTTCCAGTAAAGTCCGTTCATATGTTATTAGTATGAACTTGTTGTATGGATATGTTGAGTGAGTGACTACTTTCGACATGTTTTTCCTGTGGTATTGGAGGATCAGTTTTTCAGGAAAAGCCATGAATGTAAGTTTTTGTTTGCTGGCATTTACTAGAAAGACTAATATTCTTTCAAAAATCTAAATGTATACTACATGTTGAAAGCCTCAACTGCCTTACAGATGTACTGCTCAGTTTACTGGTGATTTGATGAATTGCATTCATCTAGAACAATACGCGTTTCCCAAGCCTCATGTCCTCTGACTCAATACGGACACTGTCTGCTACTCTATAGACCGACTTTTTTCGGTATTTGCATTTCAATAGTCACACTAGTTATCAAAATAAGTACCGATTCTCGTCTCCTAACAGATGTTAGTTTGTCTAATGAAGTGTCTGACATTACCTGATACTGTTTTTCCATTGATCTAATTATTATTTAACTAACGTAACAAGATGAAAACTTCAAAGTTAAAGTATATTATAACAAAGATATTGGGTTTTGAAACTTTAAAAAGAGCAAAAGTAGCATTATATTCACACTAACACTTTGACCTGATTTTGTGACCTTAGTGAGCAAATTCGTTTTACCAGTTAAACGTGTCTTACCATCTATGATGCTATCAAACATTCTGAACATGCACCCTACAAAATGTTGACAGATTGTAGTACATAAATATTCATTTATTAGTAAATAATATTTCGCACAATGTACTCTGGGCTAAACACGTTTATATTTGTGTAAATTTAGAGATGAATGGAGAGTGAGAAGGAAACACTGGAGATTTTTTCAGCTAATCAGCAAGTGTTACCTTCTAACGAGTAGAGTCTTTATGATAAGTGTGGAAGGTACCATGGAAGTCATATGTAGGCGATTAGATGTACAGAAGGTTTGCAAATCAAAAGCAATTAATTAAACTTACTTGTTATGTCATCTAACTGCTCTGCATAAGCTTGGCGTGTAACGTCCAACAGTGCACTTAGTCCTTCCTAAAATTAAGTGAAATTTATGTTAAGTAATGCTTGTGAATTTTTCCCCTACCTTGATTGCAAAAATCTTTTGTGTTCGCATGGCTAACATTCCTTTCGACATCCGTACATCTTTGTGTAACACTGAGCAAAGAGTCTCTAAGACTTGATCATATTCTGGATCTTGCAAAAGCTGCAAATGTGAAAAACGGATTTATATTAAAATTTGGTGACAAGGAAAATACTTTGAAACACAACAAATAAATTCGTTTTCTTTCACATCAGATAACCACGCGTTACATCTTTACAACCACTTAGATGAAAAATTGAATTGGCATAGTGTGGTGAGTGCTACTGATAAGATTTTTCAGTAGTAGATAGAGAGACATTTATCTTCATAAAAACATCAAATAGCAAGGAGATACATCTGATTTCAAAGAAGGCAAATGATCCAGCGTTGTGGAGATACATTAAAGAAGTGAAAGGAACACTAAGAAACTCAACATGAAGGAAGGCCAAAAAATAGCACAACACAAAGATCTGCGCAAATGGTGTGTTGAAGATAAAGTATGCATAATTTGGCTCTATAGAGATATCAATCCCCCCCCCCAAAAAAAAACATTCTTTTACCAAGTCTTTTGTCTTCTACCGTTTCAATAGTTCACATCCCTCGGGTGAACATGAAATGTATTCATTCCTACAGATAAAATACTTCTATAGTGGTTAATTGAAAGTAATATTTCTTCCATTTTTTGAGTTCCGAGGGGAGCATAGGGCCTCAAGCACTTAAGTTTCAGTGGTGGTAGTTTTTTCATGAGGTAGAATAGCTGGTTTCACTTTCGGCGTTCATCCTTTTCGAGGCTCACTACCAACCAGGCAAGGTCAGTCGAGAATCGGACCTGGATCTGGTGAATGATTGGCAAATAATTTACCACTGATCCATTGATGCTTCTTGTATAAATCCTTCCCATATAATTCCTACTGAAATAATACCAATATAAATAGTACTCAACATAAGTAGCCACATAATTAGGTGAAAATGCTTTCTGTTTTCATTTATATTACAAAACTAGCACTGTTACATTTACCATTTTGTATGTTTTCAGTAAAGCAGAATTAACATCACCCATTGCACTGTATAGTAACTTGACAAGATCTAGCATATACTTGATTCCTATAACTTTAGTAATTCGTGATTCAGCAGCCTGTACACTAACTGCCTTTTTAATATGAATTAATTCATTGCCATAATTACTCTCTGAATTGGATGATGTTGACGGTTGATGAAGTGGATGTGTTGATCTTGAATGCTTTCCATGTGCACCACATTGTAAATCTGACGATCTCGTTTTCCCTGTATGGATCAAAAGTGATTCATTTTTGGTTGTAGGTGTACAATTATTATCTGTATTTGTCATGGTTGGTTTTGATTGGCATGAATTTGTTTCTTGACTGCTTTCAACAGAACTGGATTTATTCACCTGCGAAGTTTCAGTACTACTGTTATCGGTCTTATCCCTCGGATTAAATATCTTATGTGGTGAACATATTTGAACACAAAGTGACAGGAGACTATCGATGTTAGGGAACTGACGTAAGATTTGCTAAATAAAAAGGAAACATGAAAGTTTGCTTATTTTAATAAATCATAAGGAAGTCTGTTTTTCATTTAAATTCAATTAGAATCTATCACTTTATGATCATGCTAGAATTTTATACTACCCAAATCAACTTAGGCCAGGCCAAGACATCAAAATTCTAAAAAATAAAATTTGATTTTTGACAAGTTCCCGAATTCTGTACAGTGAAATGCTTGAGGCGAATTTGAAATATTCAGTTACAAGGAGTCTATATTTTACTATAAATCCATCACATTAAAAAAATTTAAATTTCACAAATAGATAACACTGGGATAATTAATGAAAAAGAAAGAAAACTAGGCAGCGATTTCACTCTGAAGATGGACCCTAAAAAACTGTTTATAAAGAAAACTGCATGGATGACTCAAATTCAAACCTGCATACTTATAAGTGGGAACTATACAGTTCCTTTACTGTTTTTTGTTTGTAATCGACTGAAGACAGAAAATAAGGAATTCAGTAAACAATGAATTTCCGGTCTGTAGATGAAGATATATAATCTGCGTCTTGACTAAACATTTTCCTTTTGTATGGCAGCAAAATACATACTAATGAAGTTTGGGACCATATCTAGTGTATTGTCAAAAACGGTGAATGATAAAAGGCGCATACAAAAGTTCTAACTGACAGTAATTCCACCAGGCTTATGAAATGACTAGAATAAGGTATACAAAAGCAAGCTCAATAATATTCCTTTTAAAGAATATAAATGGTGAAAAGTAGCAGAAGAGAAAGAAATGGGAACCCACCAGGTACTTATAGTCATTAGGATGATGCGTCCGAGAAAATTTGCAATAACTGAAGTGATATCCAATAAGGTTAGAACTTTAATAACTCCCTTGGTATATGATTAAAATGTTGGGTGAGACACTTCGATGGCTAGTTTAACCTAACCAGTAATCTTAGTTAAGAAAGGTTAGTCAATCGTCAGTTAGGTTATGTACGAGCTGTCATCAAATGATATACTTTTCAAGATAGTGATTTAGGCTGAAGTATGAATAGGCTTGAGTAAAGTTATGGTTAGTCGAAATTATGTATATCATTAAACAGACGAATTCCATAACTTTTATTGAGTCAGTTACAGTGATTTGTCTTGCGTGACTTGAGTCTTGAAACTGTTAATAAATAGTGTCTAGGAACAAACGGTCGTGAACAGAAGTGGCTCATAATGCAGTAGAGATATTCACTAGTGTTGTTCTTCAATGGTCTTAACATACTCATTGTCTCTACAGATGTTACTATCCCTTGCATTATCACTACACTACCTTTCTTTTGTGTTTTTCCAAACTGTAGCCACTGAAAAGACACACTAGCGTGCAAAATACATCAATAAGTAAATTTTTTTGATAAAGTCTCACTATGCTGTAAAGTATTATGCTGTATATCACTTGAAGACTTTATCGAATAAATTTACTCTATGATGGAATTATACTCTGTGACAGTGCCCAGCTTCTATTCTTATATCAGTACTATCGTGTGGAGTTTTGCACTGGCGTTTCTGTGTATCCTGAAGATCTAGTGAAATGTCTTGACTACTAATTTCTGCTAAGTTGGATATAAAGGCATAATGTTAGATGTCGATGGTAGTTTGTCAACAGTCGGTAAAATCTAAAAATGTCTCACCAGATGCTACTTTTCCAGCCAAATAAATGTATGATGCTCTGTCAGACTCTGCATTTTTGACGTACATGTGTACTGAGTCTTATCTTAGGAGGAAATATTTACCAAATCCTCTTCGGTTTCTAATATCCCTCTAAATAATATCTATTGTTCATAAAAAAATATCCATTGCAGTTAAATACAGTCCTGAAATCCAGACACATAAATACAGTTTTATAATTAATTTAGACATCTTACCTGTATGTTATAAAGGGTTTCGGGAGAAGAAATTAGTTCATGAACTGAGGCTTGTCTGTTAAGAATTGTCGGCAAATCTATAAATAAAAAATAGAACTTTCACCTTTTAGTAACAGTTATTTAAACATTTTGTGGTTTACAGTGTGTAATTTGACTAAGCAGTAAAAGTGGCTAATCAGCTAGCCAACAGCTATAGCCAAAATAATCGTATTCTTAGATCGGTAAGATTTTTAACGAATTTTCCATACTTTGCATCCCAAGTGAGACAGAAGGACTTCAGGCTTTGAAATTCTATCAGGACCATAGATAGTTTACATGGTAGGGTTGCTACATTTCTCTATAAATTCCTCTCTTTTCGGGCTAACTACCTATTCGTGAACTGGGTGAGGCTTAAGAGTGAGTCGACTGGGAATCGACCCAAGACCCCATGCATGTTTGAAGAGCATTCCACCATTGGACCAACGATGATGTATTAATACATACTTTCGTGGTTTTTAAAAAAGAGTGAGGTAAATGACAGGATACTGAGTAGTGAATAACACACGATTAAGCAACCATAAATATTATAGTGAGTTAAGTTTATCCAGTGAATGTGAGATAGAGTGAAAAATCAATGTTTGATGATAAACTCAAAGGAAAAGGGGTAATTTACCGAAATGGGGAGAGGCCTACTACAGCTCCTTTTTGAATACATAAATCGAAATTTAGCTATTTGATAGGGATGGCCTCCGTGAATTTTAGGAGGCTTCAGCTTGCCTGTTTTCAATCTTGAAAGAATTCCTTCTGTCTATCTGGTATTCTATGTCAATAAGATGTTGTGCACTCACAAAGTTCAGAGTTAATAGTAAGCTGTAGGTCTTTTCTAGAAAAATTAAATAAGATACCTTTTTCTGTTCTTCCAGTGTATTTGCTTCAACGAATGCAATTTAATGGACGCACACAGTTAGAGATAACAAAGGAAGGGTACCTGTTAACTGAACTAACAGACACTCCTCCAGTTTATTACTGGGGTATACCATTCTCATTCTTGGATGCATAGGTTAAGTCGCTGTATTCTATGAAGGTATTTTCAACATATGTCACATTTAATGGCCATTTTTCGTCGATTACATTTATTTTAGTTTTATATCCTGAAGACACTATATGAAAATATGTGTCAGTGTTTCTGATCGCTACCCATCAAGTTTACGGCGAAAATTTCTTATCTAACTGCAGTTTAGTGCACATTAATAGAAGATATTTCAATTCTAAAGCTAGCAGGGGAAGACCACCCTTCTTGCCTGCGACACTATTCATTGTCTCGTTTTCGGATGAAAATGGAGTCTACACTAAACGACATTTCCTAAGGCTGGATTGGTTCCAAAGCAAACGGTAGTCAAATAATCACCTTGAACTGTGTGAATTAGGAATTAATTTAAATAAAAAATTAAGAGCTAATTTGAAAATTGCAAATTTGATTCATGGATTGATTCTTGTTTCTTTGAAAAATACGTTCTTTAATTCAATCAAAAGTTGATAAGTACAAGCAATTATAGTAGCAAAGTATTGACATCCGGGCAGTAGATACTTTCAGGCAAATTGAAATTTCAGATTTTGAAAAAGAGTAATAATGATAGCGAATTAGTTGAAGCTAGAATTTACGGACCACTGAATTAGGTTCCAGTGGCTGAATGGTATACGAGCTTGCCTTGTTACCAGAAGGTCCCAAGTTCGAACCATTGTGGTAGGTGCGTACTGCCGATAATTCCCAAACTAGGATGAAACAGCTGTCCAGCACTCCCTGGTTTTCAGTGGTTCTCTAACTGTTATCAATCTATGGTCAAACTTGAATAGTAATGACATCTTTAGTATTTCTTATCAAATTTTTTAAACAGCATTCTTACCACACGGTGGTTCTAATAAATTAGTACGGAGTAAACGAGCACCAATTGCTGTGCATGTATAGTCTACCGCTGCGTATAAACTTCCTTTGCTTGAACGACTGCGTCTATTTCTAACCAAAAGCAAGTTGTATGCACTTTTAACATCTTTTAAAAAATAAATAGATAAAAAAACTGACAATTAGTGCTACAATTAAATGGTAGAAATAATTTTAAAAATTGAATAAGTAGTTATGCAATGCTTAAATTTGATATATAAGTAAGGGGAATAAATCAAAGAGTAAATGAATTACGTAATAATGGCACTAACATGGCGATACAGATTGAGCACATCAGTCGAGTAAAATTGATTTGCGGGAAAATCAAAATAATAATACCTTTAAGAAATATATTTTACCGTACTTCATTCTGCACTATTTTTTTAACCACTGAAGAAAATATTTTACTTATGTATAGGTTAGTTTATAATTAAAAAACTGTTTTACACAAATTCCACAACAGAAGACAATCATTTTGTAATTATAAAAGGGACTTAGTTTTGGGCCAAACAATACTGAAAATCATGAGTAAAACTGTTATATATGCATATTTATATATATAATAAATTAACATTACCTCTCGAGACATAAAAACAAAGAATTCTGCGAAAATTCTCTTTTCGATGACTTTATTATAATAGCTGTAAAATCGTATATATATATATATATATATATATGAATTACAATAGACAATAACAATCACTTTTCTAATGTGTGTGTTAAAGTTTGACATTGAGTGATGCACGCTTGTTTTTATGCTTCATTTGTAATTACATAGACTTACATAATGTAAACATAGGAATGCCTACATCATGCCTAAAAAGAACTCATACTTCGATGTCCTCTAAATGTTCAATTTCTTTTCAACAACCAAATCTGCTGACAGAGAGATACGGTATCTATAGGTTCGCAACTTGGTCCGTTAATAGCAGACTTCTTTTTTGGCTATTATGTAGCGCGGTACTCTCGCACCTGCTATTGAGAGAATTAACTTCTACGAAAGATACGTGGATGATTTGATTTTCCCACAAATCAATTTTACTCGACTGATGTGCTCAATCTGCATCGCCAAGTTAGTGACATTGTTACATAATTCATTTCACTATATGAGACGAGAACCATGATTTGGATGACATCCTTAAGCTGTTAAATGACAGTCATCCTGCTATCCGGTTCACCTTAGAAAAAGAAACTGGAGGAAAAATATCTTCTCCTGATGGGCTACTCACAAGGAGAGCTGATGCGTCTTTAAGAAGATATATTTACAGAAAATGGAAGTGGATTGAATAACTGACTAATTTCTATAGTTTTCTACCCCTGGATAGAAAAAGGAACCTAATCCGCTCTCTCTTAACACGGGTCTGGAGAATTTGTAGTGAAGACAGTGTTGACGGTGAACTCAAACAATTGGAAGAACGGGTATCCACTACGCTTCGTTGAGGCCAGTAGCAAATTACGTGGAAGAAATACAGAGGCTGACAAGATAGCTAAAAGAGCTGCACCTAAGCTTAGAATTTAGAGGTGACACTGCGAGTGAGGTACTTAAAAATCATCCGACAAGATCATTGAGAAAAACGTTCTTTGCTGCCACTTTTAGAATACCCTCTCTAGCCGATCACTGGTGCACCTTAATGCCAAGCACATGTCGCCTTGGTGGTCCAATTCCGTGTGTATTTATATGTTAATCTTCTTTCGTGGAGCTAGGTACATAGGACGTTCGTCGAGAAACGTATCCCTCAGCGTTCGTGTGCACCTAACAGCTTGAATGAGCAAAAGAGAGCGTACAGGTATTAATTCATCGGTATTGCAACATACTGTATGTAGTGACCACGCAGCATCTGATACATCGTTTAATGTAGTCTATAAAGTTTGACTAAGTCTGCCGAAAAAACACGAGTGTGTTTACTCTGTATAGCACAGGTTTTGGCATTACATAACATAAAGCCAGAACTTTGTATACAGAAACAATTTGTACGATTTTCTTTTAACCTAACCTAAGTCTGTTTTCTCACCTCTTAACTCTTTATTAATTTCATATATATGACAAGTAACATATATGTTGTCTTGCTGATCACTTGGTCTAAAATTTCTTTTTCAATTTTGTTTTAATAATGAAATTAGATATGAATACCTACGAAATGTGTCATCTGTTTAATTTCACTAGTTTTCTTTCACTTTTCACCGTAACTACATTTTGCGCTTTTATACCTTATTGATGTTGACGGCCATCATTTCTAAACTCAAATAGATTAATGTATATAGTGTGAAAAGAATTTACATGGTTTTGTAAGAAATAGAAGTTTTATCTATAGGATACACTCTGTCGATAAAAAAGGTATTTTCATGAATTGGATGAACAGCATGCATTTCCATTACCTATCATAGTGGATTTAACGGATCCAGTAAATGCAAATTTCATCGATCTTGGAGCATACATAATTCCATACATTTCTTCTGCATAATTAAATAGTGCTGATAATGCTGAAAGAGCGTAGAATCTGGAGTGAAGAGAAATACAGATTTGAATATCATTCCGTTTATTTTGTGATTTAAATCAGCTGATTAATCTAAAATCTTCTACCTGTGTATGGTAGATACCATTGTTCCCTTATGACAATGAATTAAATAAACATTACTGCTACAAGGCATCAATTTTCAGATATATATGTCCTCGGTACTGAATGCATCCGATTAACATAGTTAACACTTCTGGTTACTGAATTTATCACATACTAATACAAAATAATTTGACTATGTTTAAATTTAAACAGTCTTATGGCGTTTGAAAAGCGTAATATTTATAATCCTATATAAATGCACCATGTTTAACCATATTCAGATAAATTCAAAAACTTGTATTGACTAATAGTTTCACATAGCATTTAGTCAGAAAGTACTTTGTTCACTTATGTACTCATTTTAATATAAGTACATCATTGTTTGACCATAATTAATTATTCATTCCTCGCGTTCCAAGCGAAAAATAAGGGTTCAGTGACACATCTGCCTTCTAGTCAGTTCAATGTAATTGCTTTCACGACTTTCGACAAGCTTGCATTTCCTCCTCCCATGATCTCCTCCGTATCAATAGTAGATTCCTAACCCATCTGTTCTCATACGGGTTCTACTTAACGGCAAGGCGTGTGATTTCACTTGAAAGTTCCCTCAGTTTTGATTATTAGTCATATTGAATAAAAAGCTTAAACTGTGGAGCGTTTCTAAACAGTTTTTCCTTTAAAATTCACTTGTATGTGGGAGAGAGATTGGTCAGTGAGTTGCTTCGAACAAAAAGCATAGAAAGGGGAGTCTTAGACTTATGTCAAGTCCCGCAAATCATTAAATCTAAACTGTTAGACTACAGGGGACGTATCATACCATCGAATGACCGATGATTCCTAGTTCCTACCGATTTATCTTTTAGTATCACTTCAGTTAAACATGATCAGTGAGTAACTTTCTCTTGTCACATTGGCGGAGGCTTCTATGAAGATTTGCCATCAGAAATTTAATAAATGCATCTTGGAGCTTGTCAGTAGTGAGCATTAAGTTGTTTTTATTCATATACCGAAGTGCTTAACAACTAAATTGGAGCGTTATCAGTCTTAATGGTATAACCGGATGTTTTTAATTTAAAGGCAGATTTCAGAAGACTTCCCATCTTTTCGAGTTCTACTGAATTTTATACTAGTTGTCATTAGAAATTCTTGTTGTCATGATTACTATATGGTATACTGACAAGTGAACCGAATAAAAAATTAAATTCTCTTTGCGAATTATTGCTTATTTGAACCTACATAGTCTGTATGACTTCAGTAAAGTTGATTATATTTCATTGGTATTCGATATAATTAACATTGTTTAATCTATGGTCGAAATGGAAAAACCAAGATTGCAAACCCAAAAATAATTAACTCAGAATTAAGTGCTGAAGATGTCCCAAAGGGAGGATGTATGCTAGGCAGTTAAGTCATCCAGTTGAAAAGAGCATAACCACATCGAAGCATCCATCTAATCTGCACATCACCAATATCTCAAAATATTTCGGTATCTTGTAAATAGAGCATACAAATTCAATCATTAATTTATTTCAATAATATTCTTCTATGGTCTGGGTTTCTCCTAATAAGGGTGTATGTAAGATAGTCATCTTTCACTGTGTGAAAAATAAGATATTATAAATTATAATAAATAAACCTTGTTAGATAACATCTATGAAGTCAACACTTTATGTAAACACAAAGAGAATAAGTAAAAGTTCTGCTTACTTCGAACCAATAGCATATATTGATGGGATGTAATAAGGGTGACATAATCTTCTTAGATAATCTAAACCTTTTAGTATATTAAAAGAAGAATAAATATAAATTCATGGGTATAGTGAATGCAAAAGACAGTATTCGTAAGATAATAGAATACAATACAATAGATTACAGTGAATTAATGTCATACAAGTTTAACCTACTAGCCAAAACAATTACAAATAATATTTCATAGAAAATACTAAATTGTATTTATACAACCCTTAACATATCGTTTCTGACTGACGTGTTTTTCAGACACTAGCCCAAGGGGTCCAATAACAGTATTCATTGATAACATTTGTTTTAGATGTAAAATTGTATGTTTATGTAAAGAATTGAGTTTACTGACTGTGCAAATTATAGAAACAGAAAAGCGATACATAGAATAAATATATAGGAAACACAAAATCTAAAGTAGTCTACTAGATATATTTGTTGTAAAAACAACTGAAAAGACTGTTCGAATCCGTGATGGGACATTATTTCCTCTGAAGTCACAAATATGCCCGGTTAAAGACTGTCAGTAGACACAAACCTAGGTCTAGAGCTTTCTATTTACATTTCACTGCTTCTGACAACTTAAATAATCTGACATTGACGTTTTACACAATGGTTTGATAATACGAAGAATGGTTGTATGCTTGCGACTTTCCGACACAAGTCACAGTCTATTTTCAAAAGATGGTGAATGTATAAACACCCTAATAGGTTACGAAACCTTCAAACAGCTTGATTAAAATTTTAAATGACTTAAATAAATCAATAATTTACAAAGCATAAAACCAAATGAAAGATAAGTGATAAACTAATGTTATCCACAGTTAATACGGCTATGAAAAGTTCTAAGCAGTAAACACAACATTCCTGTTTAATGACCTAACAGTGAAATTTTATACGGTTTCAGCTAGTACTAAGCCATCCTGTCATTTATTACCAGAAATTTATCCCAGGAAATCTTAATGTGAATATTCAAGTAGACAAGAGAGGCATTTTTCACTGAATAATAATGCCTAATTACTTCCGATGACTTTATTTAAATGACTTAAAAATGTGGAAAATATGCGATATTATTTGACCCTTAAGTTAACACTTTGTATAGAAGTAATCTTACCGTTTGTATCATTAAAATGACTTCTGTTAACTCCATTAAAAGTTGCTCCAATATTTAGAGATTGCAGAAGTTTTACAAGTTTTCGCATACAACTGTTCGGCTCCAAACCGGATCTAGGAAGTAAAATCTATTTAAAAAAAAGTGTTTTTAAGCAATAAATAATATGCAGCTTATACATTATTCACAACATCGTATTCTTACAAACAGCAACAACTCACTATATCTATGAAACCATCAGGTGAAATCTGTGAAAATTTATGAAAATTTACATTTTGAGTTTGAGAAAGTCTTGTTTGTTCGAATAGGAAGACCATAGGTCAAATTAATATGTGTAAAACTTCGACAGTATGCCATTCCATGTTAATTTGTTTATAGTATATATCAAACAGTGTTAAACTGAATTATTAACTGGGGGACGCCTCCTGTAGAAATTATTGCTCGAAATCATACGTTTGCTCATGTATTGGTTTCAGTTTCTTTGCCTACATGCCATGTATTTTGAGTTATAGTGAAACTTCATTCACAATTAAAATTACCACAAAATATTTTTATTTTAGATTACTTTGACAGAAAAAAGTACGAAGCATAATAAAATGAAACTTCCAGGTCGATATCACAGCGTTATGTACAAACGTTTGATATGAAGAGTGAAAAAGAGCACTTACATCGACTACTGGTGCATGTTAGCCAGACGGTCATTTCGTTAGTTTGGGGGCAAGTTCGTCTGGGTTGCAGTCAGTTATATTTAGCTCAGAGATCCGAATAACTTCAAACCACTCCAATTCTGGTGAACTACTTATGTGAACTAGTCACTCTCAGTATATGTCACTATTCTATTTGGTTTTTTTCACCGTCATTTATGGCATGATCTGATTATTTAGGATTTCCCAAAGAAATCGTAATGAATTTATACGTCAGACGATGTAACTTGCCAGTCGCATATTTGATAAAATCATTTCGTTTTTTCAAGTATTGGTTTCGTAGGAATTGTGCTTGATTAGTTGGAGGGTTCCATCATGATCTGACATCAGTTAGAGAACCATTAGAAAACCTGGGAGCACTGGGCAGCTGTTTCGTCCTAGTTAGAGGCTTTTCACTAGTACACACCTACCGGGGTTCAAACCCAAGACCTTCTCGTCACAAGGCGAGCTCGTAGACTGTCAAGCCACTGAGGTTCAAGGGGGAAGCCGTGACCAGTGGGTTGCAGCAGGTTGATAGTGGGGCAGTAACTCATCGAAGAAGACGTTGCAAAGTGGTCGCGCTATGCGATGAATTGGGACACTGGATCGGGTCCCAGTGGCTTAATGATCTACCAGCCAGCTTGCCTTGTAACCAGAAGGTCCTGGATTCAAACCTCAGGGGGGTGGGTGCGTACCGCTGAAGAGTCCCAAACTAGGATGGAGGGAACAATTGTCAAGTATTCCTAGGTTTTCTAACGGTTTTCTAATTGACGTTAGCTCATGATGAAAACCTCCAACCAAAAAAAATCATTTTGTGTCTACATTTCCGTTCCTAATGATGAAGATGCTACAACTGGCAGTATATTTGTATATGAAGATATTTTTTAAAGATAATCCTAATAATTAAAAACGATGAATCATCTTAAAAAACATAGCATCACAAAATACATCGATTGCTTAATAGTTATATATTCTTTCTAATTGATTTTACTCTGCAAGTTTTGTATGTGGCTCATAGTATAAATTAATATTTTTATTGCAAAATACCATTTCATCCTTCCGGATGTCCGGTATAACAAAGGGACACTTTTAGATATTATGAATACATTACTGTTAACAAAAATATTGAGATACTAATGCACTTAGTACTGGAGTTTTAGGTAAAACGTAAAACAACTATTAACATATTCCAATATTCATTGAGGATAAAAGCATACAACGCCAATTAAAAATTTTATGGAATGATTAAGATTGATTTTCAACTTGTAGACATTATACTCTTCAGGTAATAGAAATAAATATAATTTACACTGAGTGACAATTGTAGAATAGAATTCCCCATTCTCAGATAACACATTTGGTGGAATGATATCATCACAATTATCTTAGGGAACCGAAAACGGAGGAACTACAGCTTGACTTGAGTGGTTTCCAACTAGTCATATCAATCCCTCAGTAGTATGAATGTTTGTAGTTGTGTAAAATTCTTCGATAAAATATCCACAACTCTAGTTTCGTTCAGTTTAAACTTTACTGTTATCAGTATTACAGCATTTTTTCATGTAGACTCATTAACTGACTAAAGTATGTATTAGATGAAATAATTAAATTACTAAATATAGCAGAGCGAATGAAACTTAAAAGAAATAAACACTAAGTAAAGCCATAGATTACACTTATACACAAATAATAAACCATATTTAATAATGATGGTTTAAATAAATTCCTATTATTCATTAATCAAGATACTAAAGGGATGCAATCGAAACTATTAACACAAATTAATAGATGCTGCAAGACAACAGTTTCGGATCCATTAGGACTGCACTTTGCAATGCATTGAAAAATTACTTCAGTATACTTATATATTTTTCTAAACGAAACAAGTATCAAAATAAACCAAAAATACAGAGTCTTATCTAGTGATTATAAACTTCATCTCTTTATTTGAAGTCTATCCATGGTACTAAATTGTGTAGGATAATTTTTACTGAAGTAAGCCATAACGTTAATACCCAATTAATCACCCTATTTTATTTGATTATCGTAGTTGTTCATTTTAAACACAATACAACCTGAACAAATGGACTTATGTCACAAAGCTTTGTCTATGAGGACCTGAATACAAACGAAATTGTTTCAGCGCGACATTAAAAATTACTACCACTAATAATATATCCATACTGTATCACATTTTTGTGTGCTTTTAACAATGACACACATCAACGATATGTCTATTCACTTCTGATTTTCTTTATTAAGTAACGTAAGTCACTCAGAAGTCTCGTTACCAGCACAATATGTATTAAAAGGCAATTAATACCAAACATCACTTCAAAAATATGCTGACTTTGGGAGGGAAAAGACTTACCTCAGCAGGACAGTATACCAGTAACTTGACAAGTGTTCTACTGTAGCTACTAGTATCTCTAAACTGTGATAATTCAACATTTGCCCTGTATATATCAATTGTAGCGATACCAATAACACCAAGTGATGGACCTCTACCTTCTACTATACCTGAATTTTTAAAAAAAGCAATCATACCAAAGCCGTTTTACAATAAAGGGATGATTAAATGTTATACTGAATGCATTGAATTTATGAACAGTATTTCCCAAACAGTATTTAGAATTATGAATATTGTATGCATATGACCTAGACTAATTTTTTTTTCATTTATTTGCAATGTCCCATGAATTCTAACTTCTGAGAGTTCACGGTATTTAGGGACATCTCCAGGTATCTGTTATGCCGAATACTGAGAAATTAAGAACCTGTATCGATTTTTTACGTTTGTCAGGAGGACTGAATGGTCATTTGCAGTTTTATTATGAAATAACAGATAAGCATTCTACGATAAAACACTAAAAATTCCTACTGAGAACACAATTATGAGGTTATTCCAGTAACTAACTGAATTAAATACTACGTTATCTCTAAAATTCGAAAACAGATATAAATGAGAAAAAGCTGATAAAACAAGCTTCCTCTAGCTATTAAGTGAATATATTTATCTCTGAAATAATGTCAATAAATACTGTTGAATATCCACTGAATAATTAAATAACTATATACAATGTTCGTTGAATATCCAAAGTTTGTTATCAGGAGTGTCACGAAAATACGACAAATACCTTGAGTCTAGTGTTATAATTCAACAAATCAGCCTTAAAGTAATAAGGTAGAAATCATTAAAAAACTGCAACTTATGAGAAACATGATAAAAACTCTAAACTTACACATAACAGATAACCCATGAGTTGACAAAGCGCATATTAAAGATTGCCAGTTATCTGTTAGTTCACTATTACACTATCACAGTTCCACGATATGCAAAAAACAAGAGTTTATTTTATGACAGCATGAAACATTCTTCACACATGCTGACTAAAAATGGCTTTTGATTTACAAACACTCAATTCGCATATCTGTGAGGCTACGATGAAGATGCATAACATATTTGTAGACCATCTGAAGGGCTTTACTCATGCCCTATTACAACACAGTACTTGTATGTGCTGTTACCATTGGAAATTTTTGAATGCCACACAAACGCTTAGGAAAATGTTGTACAAATAAAGGTGAAAGGTTTGAAGACTGTTTATGTCTTTTAGTAAAGAGGGAGTGTCAGTAAAACTGGTGGTTGTTGTATAAATGTGTTGCCCAAAATGACAAAGTACATAGTCAGAACTCAGTTCAGCGTAAGTATTCCTCGTTAGCGGCAATCAAGTAAAGGGATTTGCAGTCATTTAATCAAATCTCATAAACCAAGTGCCCGTAAAATGTACGCCGACCTAATTGTCAACGATGAGGTGTCCATAAGCGAGCTTTTGATTATACCATGTAGTTAGACTGCATCACTTGAAAAGATCTAGAAATTTCAATCTGGTACTTTTCCCCATGACTAAACTGGTTACGTTGCGTCACGGTTCAAGTAAATATTGGAAAATATTATTAAGAATTATATTTAAGACTATATATGGTTACAAAGATTATGAGACATTCCCTCATATGGGCATGTGTTGCGAATGGTGTGACAAGCCATTTGGAATTAACAGCAATTCAAAGTGAAGCATAACTCTTCATTGCTATCAGACAGTAGGCATACTTTATTTACAAATACTTACTAAGGAGAACATGAGATTGTAGCTTAAAGGTGGTTGACGAATCCGTTATTTTTGAGCTTGATGAAGGTGACTCGACTTGCATTTTCTGTTTTCTCACGTTTTTAGTGGATTCGGTACGAGTAGTTGAACTTGACTGAACATTATGACCTGTTTGAGATTGCCTCCTCCCCCACCGATACTTGTCTAGCTTCTTAGCACAGTTTGCGGGAAACATTCTATCCATGGAAAGACGGTGGATATATTTTCTGAGGAAGAAATGGTTTTATACATGATGTTGACAAATAGTATTTGGTTTAGTTGATGTTATAAGACAAATAGATGTTTCAAGACTTTGTTGTAAAGAGATAATTTTAAACCAAATTGTAAAGATATTCAAAACGCTAGGAAATAATCACGAATAAATTTTAAACGCCATGAATGAAGGTAGTTTGAATGCATTAACGTATGGACTAAAGCAATTCAGGTTTTAAAATAGTAGTGATCAGGAATCAAGTACGCTTAACGAATAATTGCAAATAGAAAATTAGGCTAATACGTCGTCATTTTAGGTAAGACACGTAAAAGAAGTTTTAGAACTTCATAATTACACTGATTAGTTAATCAAGAAGCATATAGGAAACTAAAAAAATAATGAAGCTGACATTCATGAAGAATATACACAGGAAGATGACGACATCAAAACTAGAAAATTTAAAACATAAAGAGTGCTTCCAAACCAAGGAGAACACCTGAAACCTTAGTTTGGATTCTTAACAAAGCACTAAAAAAGAGGAATATACACGCACAAGTTTACTCTAAAAGAAATTATGCCGATAAAAGATCCCATAAAGCCCACTAAACAAAATATTCTAGTTTATGAAATAATAGAAAAGATCTGTAGCAAAGTGGGTGGTTTGCAATTAGTAGTGTTCTCTAAAATGGTTGGTTTAGTTGCGGAGCTTTCGTCGTCCTTCTGGACAACATCTTCAGCGCAATTTCCAGCATAAAGTGAACTGATTAAAGTTTTCCATGAGTAATAGAGTAATAGTAATAACCATTCCTCTTGAAGACTGTTTGTAAGTATTTTTCTTCCATTCTTTTCAACTCTGGAGTGCTACAATGTGTTTGAACTCTTCTAAACAATGTATGCACACAGTTTCTTTTGTGAGGAATTGAATTATTGCTAGTATAGTTGAGTATTTCATCTGTGTGCGTTGATTTGCTATATACTTGTGTTTCTAAATTTCCTGTGTTGGTTCTCCTGATTAAGACATCTTAACAATGTGCCATACAGTGATACTGCATTTCTTCTAAGGACTTTTCAGAAGTCATTAAGGAAGATAACGTTAACTGTTAATTCTGTATGAAAGTGTTCACCTTAAAATTCATTAAAGGTATAATTTCAATTAATTTATATCTTCTATTGGCTTATGTAACGTTAATCTAGGCAAATGAATATTTGTCTCTTCCGTTCAGTAAAGCTACTAGGGGAGGGGGACAGAATAGTCACCATTAATTCTTATTTTTCTGTCTAGGTAGTAGAGGTTTCCCCCCTTAATTCTTCAACATAAAATGAAATCTCTGTAGTCTATCTCATCGGGAAATTAAAAGGAACAAACGAATTTAAACCATAGTAACACATCAACAAACGCCTACGTGGGAATCAGTTATTCGCCGGTATACAGATTTTCTTTCTTTACTTCCCTTTATTTGCTTTAAGTGAACTTAATTGTACACTGAAATTCTGACCACGAGAATTTATTTTTTGATATTACGGTAGAATTATAAATTCTGTGCAAATAAGAAATCAGCGATTGAACATTTTACTCTTGTCCATTTTTATTTTATGATAAGTCAGATAATAAAACAAATATAGTAATTGTATGAACTGTAACGAACGTTACATCGGCCAAAGTGGGCGTCCCCTTCGAATAAGAATCCAGAAACACAAATCAGCCGTGAAAGCCGTCGGCTTAGGGGGGATTTGATTACTGCCTACAAAATAAAAAATGACCAGAATCACCCAAACAAAGGTGTCCTGCCATTGAGTAGGTATAGGCTTCCACGTGGAAATCCCAGAAGGATAGCTCACCAGAGGGCAAGGACCCGGGTGCGCTCCCACTTCTTTTCACTGCGGGTTTGTCTTCCCTGGAATTCCTTTCGGGCAGATGTAGCTATGGCACCGTCTTTGGACGCCTTTAAGCGAAGGCTGGACAACCATGCAGCGATACAAGAACTGCATCCAAATGGCCTATCTCCTTAAAATCGCATATACCAATCAGGGTAGATAATTAAACTCGTCATTTTATTTCTTCACATTCTCTCCCGTCTTACTCTCCTGACAACTTATTAATATTATAATTAATATTATCATTATTACTATTACCGATATATATATTATTCTTCAAACTTAATGAGCTGACTGTTGTTACGTTTCCTGTTTTCGTTTCTGTCTCTTAGTCTGAATAGCTTCACTAATTATATCTATTATTATTATTACTATTATTATTATTACTATCTCTTTTCTCTTGTCGACAATACCGAAGGACTAACTGGCGAAAGGATCAACTCCAATCACAGTAGTAACAGTCTTAACATACCTCATACTACAAACCACATATAATTAATCCCAGCACTACTCCCTTTGGAGTCAACCAAAGCTACGACAGTCGAGTGGCGGGACAAGCTACGCAGAAGTTTACCGAAGATCAAGAACCTATACCTCACAATCAAGAAGCGAGCACAAAGAAATCAAATTGGTTTATACTAGCTCGTAAAAACGATAGTGGATATGCTACAGTGAAATCCAACTTTTTTACACATCACTGGAAAAGAAGACTGAAGTGTAAAATATATATATCGCTGTATAAGTACAATGTAATTAACAAAATATGGTAAAACAGTACTGGCTCAAAATGCTGCGCGCGAATACCAATTACGCTCAGGTCTTTTCCCGCCATCCAGGTTTCAATATCCAATATCCGTTTGTGAGCCAGTGAAATTCACTTTGGTTTCTATGTGCTCGCTTTGTGATGACGAGTTAGAAGATCCCGATATTTGGTAAAATTCTGCAAAGTTCATCCTGCCACTCGACTGTCGCAGCTTTCGTTTACCCCAAAGTAGTAGTACTGGGATTAATTATATATTCTTTGTAGTATGCGATGTGTTAAGACCTTTTAATGCTGTGAATGGAGTTGATCCTTTCACCAGTTACTCCTCTGGTGTTGTATTCGAAAGAAAAGTAATAAAAATAGTAGAATTAAATACTGTATGTTTTTCAGACTACAGGACAGAAAAAGAAATAAATAAAATGTAAAAACAGTCAGCCAGTTAAGTATGAAGTTGATGTATATATGTATATATATATATATACATCATCAGTAATAATAATAAATGTGAGTGTGGTAGTTGAAATAGTGAAGAGAGTTGGAAGTGAGAGAATGTTAAGATAAGAATAAATATATAATATCATTATTATTAAAACGACGAATTTAGTTATCTGCCTATAAATGGTGTATATGATCTGAAAGAACCAGGCCCTTTGGACTCAGTCCTTGTGTCGTTGCATGACTGTTCGGCCTTCGCCTAAAGGTGTTCACAGATGGTGCCATAGCTACACCTACCGGTAAGGAGCAACAGGGAAGTAAAACTTACAGTGAATGGAAATGGGAGAGTATTTGAGTCTCTGTCCTCCGGTAAGCTGTTTTTCGAGGATTCCCACGAGGAGGACATCTTTGGGTGATTCTGTTCATTTTTTATCCTACAGGATGTAATCATGTCCCCTCTAAGCTGACAGTAGCCAAGCATGACTAGGCCTAATTCGCTTAACTCTTCATCATACAAGTTATTTTTGAGGCCAACCACTACATTTGTCACTCATATATATACTCTTTCCAAGACTTTTGCATCTCTTATTATCAGTGAGGGTGCAGTGATATTGTGCACTTCAAGGTGTGGTCTGACGTATATTTTTTACAACCTTAGAAAGAGCTCAGAAGTGAGTGCCCCTGTCAATGTGTTAAGCGTGTGACTGCATAATCCCCCGCTACATCCCTCGTTCAATTTAGGCTTGTATCCATACTTTCCGTTTGAACTAGACTTAAGTCACGCTCCGACGTTGTGCTGTACAAGCTTTCGACGCACATGATGTAATTTGTATTCTGCAGCCTACAGGTGCGTAATTTTAGTACTTTTCACTTTTTAAGTTGAAAGTCATACCATTGGCCACCACCCAGTCTTCCAGAAGCTTTAGATCTGCCTGCAGCCTGATTGAGTCTCCCGAAAAATTCACGGCCCTCCATATCTTAACGTTGTCAGCGTATATAAGAGTCAGACGGCATGGCGAGTTTCTGATAAAAGTAAAAAACACCAGTGGTCCTAGGACAGATCCCTCCGACACTCCTGATGACGAGCCATGCCAAGATGATCGGACTCGATAAACCTAAGTGCAAAATTTCCTTTTAGTTGAGTAGTCCTCCAACCATGACAGGAGCGGTCCACCTATGCCTGCCCGACCAATCTTGTGTAGATAAAGGTCATGGTGGACAGGATCTGCCTTTCCTGAAACCGTGCTGTGCTTCATGGGGTCTATTAGTCCTATTGAGGTGCTCCCTGATGTGATCATCAATAATAATTTCCAATACTTTTAATACCACTGGGAGTAGGGTTACTGGTTTATAACTAGTGGCATTTCGCCTGTCCCCAATCTTGAAAATTGGAGAGAAAGTGGCCCTTTTCCACTCCCTCGGTGGTTCCTTTGTATCTAGGGGGCGTTGTGACAGGTTCAGAAGGGCCTACAGAGAGCTGCAATGCACCGATTCAGAGCGGAAGGTCTGATGTACCTATAACCTGGGGACTTTTCTGAAAGGAGTCTCTGTAGCTTCCTTAGTAATACTTCAGGGTTTATTCGGGGAGTTGCCACTAGGTTTTCCTCCGCTGGAATAGTAAGGCCGCCATTACGGTCCGTACCAGCAACACGCACATTGCTATTTAACTGTTTGGCGAGAGCTAAACTCAATGTTCCAGCCATCTTCACTAGTGATGTATTAACCACTTGTACCAACTGAGGCTCATGCCCCTTGGTGTGTTGGTTTTTTCCCGACATGAATTGGTACAAGCCTTTTGGACTTGCCAGGAGATTTTTGGACAGGTTAGCCTGAAATGACCTCCTTTCACTCCTGATTCTCACGTTGTATAGGTTTCTGGGTTACAGGTGTGCATCATGGTCGGTTTGACTCTTGGATACTCGCCAACTGAACCAAGCCTTCCGCTTGCAGAATACGTTGCGTAAATAACTTCAGCCATGTCGACCATTTTCGGCCGTGTTTTGACTAAAGGGATGGTATCCAAGACTGCTGTGTGAATAATCTCCTTTACCACTTCTCGGTGCTCACCCACAGATAACCCAGCTCTGTCTGTGGGCCGAACATTCTAAGCCGAACAAAGGCTTCCACATTTCAGCATAGTCAGCCTTGCTACAGCACAGTTATGATTGCTCAGCGTCCCACTGTAATCGCTCAAAAAGAACTAGATGAAACCCCAAGACTATGTTGTAATTATTTGTAATATTAGTATTAGTATTTCGAGATGAACGAATTACAAGAATTCAACAAAAACACAGAGGGATGAGTTTAGGAATTTGTATTTGGCGGAGATACTGTTCAAATCATATAGGAAATATATAAACAAGCAACAGTAAGTATCTAAACAATACAGAGATAGAATTTGTCAATCACCACAGACTACGTGATAAATAATCCTCAAGAGGGTCATGGTTTAAACATTTTCGATTGGTAAGTGGTGACTAGTTAGGACATAATCCATTTTCGATAACATTCCACCAGGACCTTGCCTAGAGTCGTGCCCAGTGTTCTCAGACAGTGCTACACTTATGATGGTTTTTTTAGTAGATTTAGACCGAATTTCCCCTGAGCGTATCCCGAAACAGGGTTAGGGGATGGGATATTGAAGTCTCCAGCGATGGTGACTTGGTATAGGCTAGGGCCCGTATTTTGTGATGGTGCTGGGTAGCATCTCTGCCCCAAAGTTGGGTGATCGATACAAAGCACTCAGTAAGTGCTTGGTATGGTCTACAGGAAGTGACACCATGTTGAGTCTGAGAGTTCAGTAAGTGGTGGGTCCAATGCAAGAACACATTTAGGTTGCTTGTCAGAGTATACGGCAACCCCTCCTGACAAGAACCATATCTCCATTACCATACTGATTTCGTTGTTAGCAATAGTGGGGTTTAGCCAGGTTTCAGTGACAGTTATTATTTTAAGGTCTAGGTGTGAATAGAGTTCACCTACTTTCCCTCTCAGCCCTTTTACACTACTATGAAGGCAGATGACAATTAGTGCCACAACCTCAGCGTGTTGTGGGGCAGTTGACGTTACGTTGTCTGCTGGTAGAGGACTTATTATTGGGACTAGTCGGCCGATTCCGGTGGAACCGGCCTGTTGCCATTTTTCCCTGTATTTCGTTAGGGAACTTGAGTGACGGTGACTGTCATTCTTGTTACCACATCCCTGTGGT